TTTATTGAAGAAAATATATACAGGGTGGCGCATCGAAAACGAAACAGACGTATTTACTGGCAGCTCAGTTTTTTTTGAAAAACGCTCAGACCCGTCGATTTTGTTTTCGAGGGGGACACGAGTATGGCAAAAAATCACGATAGCACATGCAGCCCCCTAAGCGGGGGTGACACCACCCCCAAAATCTTGAATGGAAAGGGGGGTCGATTGATACCTTATTTTAAAGGTCTTTCAATTCCCTTTATAATGATATAAAATTAATGTACTTCAGTTGAGTAGTTTTGAAGATTTATTGATTTAAAGCTTAAATAAAACTAATACATCATCATTAGTGGAGATCAATACATTTGGCAGCAAAGTAATTTAAAAATGAAGAATGAACTGACCCGTTAGGCAAGTAAATGTTGAAAATGGCCACCATGACTCTCCATGCAATAATAAAGATTTTGCTCAAAACGTTGCCGCATATTTTGCTATATTTGAGGAGTAATTTGAAGGCACTCATTCACAATTCTTTGTCGCAGGTCTTCTAATGATGTTGGCTGAGTAGCATAGATTTTGCTTTTTAAATGACCCCACATAAAGAAATCCAAAGGTGATAAATCTGGCGATCTTGGGGGCCGTTCAATGGCACCTCTTCTACCAATCCATCGATCTGGAAACGTCTGATCTAAATATTGTCGAACACGTAATGCGTAATGTGGGGGGGCACCATCCTGTTGGAACATCAACCTATTTGCAATGTACCGCCGATCATTCTGATTTTCAATTATGGCTGTTAATGCAGGATCTATGGCGTCTTCCAGTAATTCCAAATATATTTCACCGGTCAAATTTCCAGGTAAGAAAAAAGGACCAACTAAATGATCTCCAAAAATACCAGCCCAAACATTTAATTTTTGTGGCTGCTGTGTATGAACCTCATGATAAATTCTGGGATTAGAATCGGACCAATATAGGCAGTTATGACGATTTACTACGCCATTTAAGAAAAAGGAACATTCGTCGGAAAAGCAAGTGTTGAATAGAAAATGTTCATCGTTTATAATTCGTTCACTCATTTCTTCACAAAATTGTAATCGCCGATCAAAATCGTCTTCATTAAGTTCTTGTACCAGGTGAACTTTATATGGATGAAAACTATGGGCCTTTAGAATCCGTTGGACAGTACGTCGACTAACACCACACACAGTCTCCAATTTGCCGGTACTTAACGTAGGATCTACATAAACTTGCCCTAAAACCCCCACTTCTATTGCTTCGTTCCTTATGGGATTTTCAATGTTGCGTTTTTTATTGGCGACTGATCCAGTTTCCTGAAATTTAGCTACAAGTTCTAGAACATATTTCCGATGCACGTTACTGTTCTCATGTCGCTCATTAAATATTTCTGCTGTTCTATTAGCGCACTGATTATTTCCGAAAAATATTTCGATAATTTCAACTCTTTCTGCTGTGGAATATACCATGGTTAATTTATGTAATAAGGCGTCACAAGTTATTTTAGCAACAAAGTTTGGTCAAATCAATCGCAAACAATGTACTAAATTCCTATTTAAAATAAGTACGAGATATTTCCTTATCTTTCTTCAAGAAATAACTTTATTGCCACAAAAAACGCTCCAATAGCTATTTTCAACAACAAAATGATAAACAAACCATGGGCGTAGTGAAGAAAAGCATTTACTTATTAAGTAAATTCTTTTAGTCAAATTTCTTCTGAAAGTAGTACAAACTAATCTGATGTACCTATTAAAGTCTACTTTAAGCTTTAAATCAATAAATCTTCAAAACTACTGAACTGAAGTACATTAATTTTATATCATTATAAAGGGAATTAAAAGACCTTTAAAATAACTTATCACTCGACCCCCCTTTCCATTTAAGATTTTAGGGTTTGTGTCACCTCCGCCCAGGGGGCTGCACGTGTTAACGTGATTTTTTGCCAAACTTGTGTCCCCCTCGAAAACAAAATCGACAGGTCTGAGCGTTTTTCCAAAAAAAAACTGAGCTGCCAGTAAATGTATCTGTGTTGTTTTCGATGCGCCACCCTGTATAGTAAAAAACTATACATATTTGGAATAGGAATAAAAAGACACATTCACATACTTATGAAATGCCAGATTCCGAGAAACATTTTCAAAATTATACTATACAATAAAGTTAATTTTTAAAATAAACTGACTAAATTTAATAGATCGCATCCATAGCAACCGTAGCAGTAGAGGTACGTTGTACATTACCATATTCCAGAAAGCGTCACCCTGAAAACTGTATAATTCAAATCATTTTCGAAAGTAAATTGATAATTCCTGGATGACTCATTTATTTTCTGGCGCATGTACGGTTCTGGTAATAAAACATCGCCATACTATTTGGATTTGTTGAGGAAAATATATATAGTAAAAAACTATGTTTGGAATAGGAATACAAAGACATTCACATACTTATAAAATCTCCGATTCCCTGGAAGATTTTCAAAATTATACTGTACACTAAAGTCAATTTTTGGAAATAAACTAAATAGATAAAGTTGATTCAAGCGATAATTATGAGATGATTTTTTGACGAAAACTAACAAACTAACAGGCTTTCAATGCAAAAAAATAGAAGCATACCAACACCACATACTGGCTATTTTGTCTTAGTTTGTCCTGTAAAATTAAACATCCGACAAAAAGTGTACACTGATACCAACTGGTTGCTAAACAACAGTTCAGAGAACCTAAGCAGTTTCCTCAGCAACTTTAGAAAAGTATTTCATTGGTTCTTGAATTCGCTGATTTTGGCAAAACTTCTCGTGAGTACAGCTTCTTTGAAAACCTTTGGCCTTTTTTTGTTAAATGTGTTCAATAAGCTACTCTTTAGGCTAGGCTCTCCTTTTTATAAAAAAACGTCCGATACCCCACCTAATCAATAATAATATTATTGTTTACTATCTCAAAAAAGCTTGCACTTGAGCTTGTTAATATTTCTTTGGTTCTCCAATATTACTGACATTATGGCCCATCCTTCGTGGAACCTCGAGTACCATCATGTTTCGCTGCAAAAGATCATTCATTGAACTTTATAAAAGCAATTGTTTATGGTCTTGACCTTTGCAAACGCAGTTTACATATTTCTACAAACAGTCTGGCAAAACCGTGCCCCAACCCGAGTTTTATTTCTATAGACAACAATGTAGGACATGACTTTATTCCATACATTAACAATGGTTGAATGCCATTTTATAGTAAATGTTTGCGTTGAATGGGTAGATACATATTTACTTACTACTTACTGCGCTGTAAATTTGTTCCCTACAAATATAATCGATATTGAGATAAAAATACGATAATAATATGTGAATAGAGTTAACGCGATCAAACAAAAGCGAAATATTGCCTGCAAGCATGGTATCTATCTGGAATATGAAAACAAGTATATTGTTTCGGTATTTCTCACCATTTATACAAGGAGATATTATGTTTTTTGGGTGTTATATAACATGTTGTATACATCACGACAAAACATGTATGTCGGTCTGTCTGTCCGTTAATACTTTCCCTACAAATATCTGTCATGGAAACAGAAGTATGAAAATGAGAGAGGTTTATTTTATATAGTTTGATATGTCGAGGTCGTAGATTCATCGTACCTAAGTGAACCTACTTAGTCACGATTCGATTCTCCCTTTCTAAGCGACTTGACTCATCACTTTGCTTTGAAACCTCCAACCAAGGCGTAGGAAGTATAGAGTCAATCTGCTTGACGCCATTTTTTCATACTGGAGCAGCTATGAATCTAAATACCGAGATACCTGGACCATCTTTAGATTAGAGAACCAGTAGAGACTCGCGTGAATGCTGTCTAAGAACGAAATAACTGGCAACCAGAAACAAGATAACCTTGTCAGGGGTCAAAGGAAGTGAAAAGGGATAGGAAGTAGCGTCATAATCTGCGGCTAAATGTCGCAGAGCCCTTTCCTTTCACTGGCGTTTGTAGAAAAAAGTCTGGAGGGTAGGTACCCAGCAAGATGACCACGGATTGATTACACTTATATTTACTTTTCGGCTACACTTTTTGATCTCGACTTTTTCGAATACTCATTTTTACTGGAATGCTCATTTTTCTCATTATTTTGAGATGTTTCACAATGCAGGGAGACGCTCAGGTTTTCCAATAAATAAAATAAATAATCGATATTTGGTGTATGGCCGCTTCCCCCTCTCTTTCTCTCATTTTTTTCAGGAGTACCTACTAGTAAAGCATACACCCTAAAGTCTCTTTAATTTTTCCAGGCGCCGGCACTCGCTCTCAGAAGCGCTGCTTAAGTTTAGCACCCCGCGCTCCTATCGTCAATTTATAACAATTCTATTTTTTACTAATTTTTCCTTCCAAAATTCTTGCTTTGTCTTCAAACATCACAAAAGGTATAATACCATTGTAAAAAAGTCCTATACGCTTCACGGTTTGCATGTAATGGCAGTCAAAACACAAGAACTTACTTCAAAAATTAGTAACAAAAATCTTTATCAACAATATATGAATGCTCCCATAATTATGCTACTTTTTATTTGAAGTAAGGACTAAAACTTTCAATACCACATAATACTAATACTACATTTTACGATAAAAATCCCATTTTTGAATATAGCTAAAGATTTACTTCGCAGGATTACTTCCAAGATGCAATATCAAAAATTCAAAAACTTTCGGATAGTATCTAACCCCCGAGGTGAAAAAAGCATAATAATAATACTTTTTAATTGGAGGAAAATTTCGCCATGTTTATTAAAATTTAGCAATTATGGTTGAAGTTTGATCAAAATTGACCGAACTGCAATACATTTCAGCACATTATTCAAGCATATACAGTAAACATACATATTATTGTGAATATTTGTCAAGTGACCTATGAAAACAATTGAATAATTTGACAGTATGCCATTAATTAAATTTGACATTAATTGACATCTTACTAATTCTGCAAGACAAAACAGGATAGGTAATCGACAGCGATGGAAAGTACCCAAAACGAAACAGTTCCAAGACAAGATAAGGATAATAGTGTGGATCCTCCTGCTATCCATATAGAATTAAATAACAGGCAACTGATGTGCTTTCAAGAGCTCAGAGAGTTATGTCACAATCTTATACAGATAGACGCCGAATTGACTGGTGTTCAACTGAAAGGCTCAGAAGCAGCTGTAATTATGAAGAATGCGAACAATTCCTTGAGAAAATCTGCGGATTCGTCGACAAGTGAGCGTGTATAGTTATATTTTTAACAGAATTATATATCTAGTAGTTTTAGTTTGTAAATATGCGTAACGTTTTTGAGTTTGTGTTACATAATTTAGTGAAGATTGTTAGCGATTAAAATAAAACTCACGCACTGGGTTATTTAATTTTGTCAATTTAAACAAGTCTATATCGGTTTGTATCGCAAATAAAAAATCACGGGAATAATTTTCACAATTCATTCATGATCTCAGTGTACTGTGGGTCCTTTCGAGAACGGCTGGTATAACAATTCAACAAACGCTTACTCAGTTTATTCCCACAATCAAAAGAACATATTTAATTGTTGAAATGTAGAAGGTAGATTAAGAGATTAGCTGATATAACTACACAGTGGCACAAAATAAACGTCATAGTTATCTTATCCATAACCATAACGTCTGTTTTTAACAAATTTACCTACTAATATTTATTTTAGTATTTAGGAGAAGAGGGTTCCGAGTTTGATATAAAGAGTTGCATCACAGAGCCCTGGAATTAACATCGAAGAAATTTATTTTAAAATCTGGGGTTTGTTGCCTTTTTTTTTAGCGTGCACATCGCCGCTACTTCATCTTAGGGCTTGGAACAAGGGCGCACGCGGAAATTTTTCTCAGAGGAAAGGGGGGAGGGGTGATCAGCGGCAAACAACCAATTCGAATAGATTAGAAATTATTATATGTTTACATTGCATTGTTTGCCTCCAAAATTGCGTAGTTTTAGTGCATACTTTTGACTCATTTGTCTACCAATGCCAACCAAAGTGACAGTGTTGTTTAAACATAATAATAACAACACTTACTGGTGGAAATATAGTCGAAATCACGAAAGTTAACGATTATGTCATCATTTTAGTCTGTAGTAAAGACAAACGACAGCGATTTGTGAATATATTTAATGAAGTTTCTGATATGTTAGACAGAGACAAACAGAATTTTATTGTCTAAACAAACTGTACTGCTAATTTGCATGTATCCGACAAAGATGTTTTCATGTTGCATGATCGATCATATTTGAAAGATGAATAGTTAGGTTATGTTAAAGCAGGTTATGTGTTATGTTGTTTTCGTCTTTGGTGTTCCTGTCTTAGGGTAGTCTACTCATAACTGTTTTTTCAAAACAAAAACTCCCCATTAAAATTATTATTAAGGTATCACTCAAAACGATGAAATAAAATGAAACTAAAAATAATCAGTGAAATAACCTAACTTCGCAAAATCATAATATAAATTTTTTGTCAGTATGTTCCTGACATCGTGATTTTATCATTGACGTACGTTCATTGATTACTTCTGTACAATTTAGGGTATGACGTAATAGTCATCTTTCGTGATTTTGACTATATCTACCTTCATTAGGCTAGTACCGTTCTTTGCAAATTATGTAAACCTACCATGTCTTGAAATCGTCTTACAATACAATTATCTGCAAGCACATGCACTTTTAAATAATAACACTAAAAATACGAATTTAGTGATAGATCTGTCAAAAAATTGACGAATGTCAAGTGCACTTTGATCCTCACTGCAGGGCTGCGTCCGTTAAATTGTTACAGAGTGTACTTCTGAAACGTCAAAAGTGTGCTTGTTCATTGTTTGTTTATTTCATTTGGTTATCAAAAACTGCCCAAAATTGGCAAAATTTTTCATGTTAAATGCTACCCTGTATTTCTAGGGTCTCTTATAATTATTACAATGGTTGCAAAAAACGTGGTTAGAAATTATTCGGCTGTCATCAAGTGTCATTACAAGAATTTATTCGTTCTAAAAATAAAGTTTCACAGTATTCCAGTGTAAAATTTCATCTGTCAATCTACATTCCAATAGTATGTATGGTATTACATTACCGAGTGATTTACAAACGCACCCCAGACTATGAGAATCCTTCTAAATATTCGAATTCATTGGTACTGATCGATAGGTTATTGATTTATTCGAAAATTTGCAAGCCAGTCGCTAATTTACATGCTGGAAGTAGCGTATTTTCTCGGGTGGCCAAATCCTAAGGGTCCTCAAAATTGTCAACAAAATCATGCTAAATATTCAAATTTTAAGGTCCAACGACGTTTACGCGAAACAATAATCAAATTCAAGCGGATAACCAAATGGAAATGGTATTTACCATTTTGGGTTGGTATTTACCAATCCGTTCAAGCGAGTGTAGTTATCAGTTTGGTTATAAGATCCGTGACGTCACGAATCAGCTGTTATATGTCATAGTTATCACCGCAAAATTGTGGTATTTACCCAACTCAAGAGTAGTTTTATATTTCTGGTTATTATTTGAAATGTGTCAAGTTAGAATTTTGCCGGGTATTGGATATTGTTATTGTACTTCAGCTTCATTTTTGAGAAAAATGATACAGGCTGACTTCAGTTTTACCATAAAGTGGAGCACCTTATTAGTTATACTCATTAAGGTTGTTGGGGACACTTTAAATGTAGTTCCTATGCTTAACAAAGTATCCTGTGTAGCCATATACCACAAGAATATTAAAATATGGCCATATAAACTCACTAGATGATATCCACCTGTATACGGTTTTGCTAATTTCTTTTTTCATCATTTCTGCTGAATCAATAAATGTTTTCTTTGACATGAGGAAAAATTTAGAGAATTGAAAGTTATCATAGCTACAAAGCCATGGTTCCATCATTAAAAAAAATATCTGAAAAAAACATTTCTCCCATGAATATTATGAAAGGTATCTTATTTAAACTTTCCATATACCGTTGTAGACGAAAAAGCACCGATTATTAAGTGATAATAAAAATAATCAGAGATTATATACGCGCTTTTCTAAAATAAACAACTTGCAACAAAACCGCGGTTAAAACCAACGCGTTTAAGCGATTCGTGTAACTGACGTCATCAACCCGTGTGTCATCTTGAACCATATTATAACCGCGGCACATAACACAGAAATTTTGGTTATTCGCTTGGATTTGATTAATAATGCTGTAACATTTTTTAATGATAGATGTCAAAAGCTATAAAAAAAGGCTCTGTTAACAAGGTTAAGGGATATATGAATATGTCAAGACAATATTCGTAATGAAATCGCAGCCATAACTTTCAATATCTTGCTAAACGTGATGAAAAACGCTATGGAAGAGTCAGAGTAGGAAACACAGAATGTAGTCTACATTTACTTTATTTCCGAGTAATATAGCATGATTTTAAAACAATTCAATTATCCCTAAGATACTCGTAAGGTTATGAAGGATTTGAACCATAACATTTTGTGCCACCTTGTAGATGCATTCAGCGAAACTGTGTGATCTTCTTTTTCACCGAATTTTCCTAGACGAGTTTAAAGTTTCACAATACGCATGAGAATGTGTAAGGGTTTCAAGTGAAAATGGTAACTTGTATTACACTCTTGTTGCGCCATACAGTTCAACATTACATACAAGCGGAGGTACATGTATATGTAAAACAGATATGACAAAATAATGTTCATAACTGTGGTTGTGAGTCGCATGCTTTGTGTTACATAAGTTGTGGAATAGTGGGGCTTTTAACTACTATGCTGTTTTAAGCAGCGACTGTCTGACCAGGCGCCTGGAGGTGATCAATGCTTGGTGAAACAATCTGGTACAGTTTAAATCTTTCATGACATAGTACTGCACCTTGACTAACTTGGCTTCGATGGATGACCGAGTTCTACCAAAGATCTGTCCATTTCGGCTGGTCGGAGTCTTAATCTTGCACGAGCACATCTCATCAATCGCCGCAGCTACTGGGAAAAAGTATTCTATTTGTTTAGGGCTGAAAAGTACGTTTCTCCACATAACCTCGCTCTGTACAAGGCCCAGAAAGGACCTAGCCTCGAGTACTGCCCACATGTTTGGTGTACGGCCGTCCCGACTATATTATTTATTATTAGGAGGGCTGTCTGAATGATCGACCGTCGGCGATATAGCTCTCTTCTACCATTTCAACTTGCTTTGCTCCTTAGAGCTCTCCTCCATGATGCCGCCGCGCGATGAGCCTGCCAGACAGACTCGCCTGACTTCGGCCTCCCATCCTAACAGTGTCGAACTTCTTACATCCAGAACTGGTCGGTACGACCGCGCCTTTGTCCTAGGGTATCGAGATTGTGGAACAGTCTGCTTGAGAATGATTCTTTCACCAGTTCTACTATAACCTTGGGCAGTCTCTATGCTCCTCTTAGCAGCTGCGGTGCCCTGGTATTTAGGTTTCTGCCTTCGCGGTTGCTTCTGTATGAAAACAATGCCAAGCTTTACGAAAGTCCGAATATAAACTCAACTTGAACTTTTGGTGGATATTTCTGTTATCTGTTCAATGTTCAAGAGTTATCAACAAAAAGTTCGACCTGAATTCTATTCAAGTATCTAGTAAAAAAACTACATTCCATGACAAATTTGTCCGCCAGGATAAAAGGCATCATACTGAAAATCGCACACTTCAGTTGTACAGTAGCTGCCACTTTGGTATGCATTGGTAGACAAATGACTCAAATGTGTGCACTAAAATTCCGCAATTTTGGCGACAAATAATGCAATGTAAACATAATATAGGCTTGGCTTCTAGTCTATTAGATTTCGTTGGTACTACCCAACGAACTACCATACTAGAGACTTTTTATTGGTCCAGACTATTACGAATTGTGTGATGCGTATTATGGTCATATCACAGAAAGGATTATGTAACTTATTCGTTTTGAGGAGAAATCTCATTCGGTCATTTGGTAATGCTCAACGCGCACATTGTTGTTCTTGGTATTACAAAGACTTTCAATCATCATTGGCCTCGTAAGTATTGATTCCATCTAATATCTTCGCGGGTGTTCCACAAAGATTGGTTGTAGGCCTATTGTTTGTGTTTTTCTTTAATTACAGGTTTTACCTTTGTTATTAAATTGCTCAAGTACAAAACGTGTATATGGTTTTTTTAAATGCATTTATATGTCCATCTAACCGCAAAATTTTTACATAATAAGTCTGATGAATTATACCTGACTCTCGGTTTGATTTTGTTACAACTTAGATCCTAAAAAATCGAAGCGGATAGACAACTTTTTATTATATGGATATTTATATTCACCTCGGGAACTATAACATGAAAACGTATAGTTAAGAAACTAATGCGAATCGCACATAGCGGTCAATTTTAATGAATTTGAATCGCAAAACTCCAATTAATCGCAATATATCTCTTCATACCGTAGACTGGTGCTGTCCCTGCTCGTTTCTATTCCACTTTCCCCTCATTTTTCTTTCAACTGCTCTGATTGTGGATACCGCTACGACACTTCACATACAAAACAGAAAAACGCTCGTCGTCCCTCGCCGACGTCATCCTCACAAGGGGCGCATCGAGCCACCCATGGAAACAAACGACACAAATCGCACGCTCCGCGGCTTACTACGATTTAAAGCGACACGCGACGCGGGCAAAGTCACGCACCATCAACAGTCGCTTGTTTTCTGCCCATAACCATGGAAACGACAAACTGAGTACCTGTCGCGTCGACGATAACTAGACGCGACGGTGTGGTTACCTGTGATAACGTAACGAAAGCAACGTACTCGTGCTCACCTGGATCTACAGGGGGATTCGTTCTTAGGTGAACTATTATAGGAGCCCCACAGGGATCACTTGTGCCATTTTACCGTTAAATCTACCTCAGTGCCGGATGCTCCGGTGTTCGATTTTCGTCCGCCGGCGCGCATGACGTCACGCTGAGAGTGATTATTAGGTTTTGATAATCCACTCTCACTAAGATGGTCTATCCAGGAGTAAGTTTCATTTGAGGAACTTTTCAACCTTTCGTCCTGTAATTTATGGCAAAAAGTGCCGGCCAAATTTTTCAGCCCATCTATTTCTTCCACTAAAACTTCCTCGTGATTTTCAGCTGATGCTTTAGGTGCATTCAGTTTATTCATTAATGATGCGGTTAGTGGAATGTCTGGAGTATCTACGATGCAATACTCTGAGTATGCGCCTTCGTTTCGCCCCAGAATATATGACCTTATTCTATACTTAAGCTCTAGGGGATAAGTTGAGCCCTTTGCCTTTTTTTATGTTTCAAATTGACCTTATAGGAACTTTTACATAAGTGCTTCGAGCAAACCCTAACGCTTTTTTCATTGACTTTGATTTTTTTTTTGTATGATGTAGCCATTTTTTGCTAAGGATTGGGTCTTGAGGAAAACTGTGGAACTTCATGTCTTTGCAAGGATTCCATTTAGATTGGTTGTCGGAATTACATCCCACAACAGCACACCGCATTTTTATCAATTTACTAACATCACAGGGTATATAACAAGCAGTGTTGCCAGAGCCCACATTGAAAATTCCGCTACTAATATCGAAAAACTCCGCTACTTTCCGCTACCCGGGGGAATTATGCGCATCATAATACAAGGGGCATTTAGTATACAGGTTGTGTCAAAAAAGAAAAACTAAAACCAAACAGCGTGATAAAATATAACATAAGAAACTGTAATAAAAAAAACATTTAACTATAAAAACCAATAGAATATTACAAATAACTGTCAAACAACAGAACATTTATCACGCAGTCATATTAAAAAAATATCACAGGAAACAAAATAATAAAAAGCGTATGACTAAAGGACATTTCTGTTTTGCATAAAAAAATTAAGTTTTTGAGTTACTTAAACTCAGTCACTGTCTGTATCAGATTCTTCTTGTTGCATTTATGTTCTCTCTATACTATAACGTATAAATTATTTTTGTATTTTTTTAAATGTTTTTCACCAAACTCGAAGTCTAAGCAGCAACATTTTTATGAATTGTATCCAGTTTGATAAGTATCGCGAGCAAAGTTGAAGGTAAAATACGATTCCTTTTCATTGTTTTGATTATCTCCATATATGAGAATGTCCACTCGACACCTGCATTACCATGTGGCAAATGTTAAAATTATTAGACATACTTTTTAAATACACTTCACAGGTTGTGTTCTTACCACCTACTACCATGTATACGTGTCTCCATTGAATAAGAATTACCGACCGGTGGTTACCACTGTCGATTGGAAAGATATCTGTATTTAGATTTAGTTACTAACTGCACTCAATTTTTTTTTCTTGTAAAAATATCCATCATGCGTACCTAAATTGCAAAATTCCGCTACTTTTAACAAAAAATCCAATTCCGCCGCTACGCCGCTACCACTTTAAAATTCCGCTACCAGTAGCGGAATTCCGCTACTTCTGGCAACACTGATAACAAGTCACAAACACACCAAAAATCACCAACAAATCGCACTATATAGTATTAACCACGATAACGTAGTAACGTTACGACAATCCTACCGCTGCTAACCACGAGCCGACAACTCTCTGGGTGACGTCACGAAGCTCCGCCCACATGCGCAACATAATATCTTCTGTATGTGTATCGTGAATCTACCTAATATGAAGTTAGTCTTGATGCAACGTGCTTGTGGCCACCTAGATCTACAGGGATCTTACGTAAATTGGTATGGAGAAACGATAAGGGTCAGTTTTAGAGCAATTCTACTGTGAGCTAGAGAATATATTGGTTTATAATTAAAAAAATACTGCCATGCAATTACACAGGGTGTTCTAGAGGTGATTTCTATTGAAAATGAAGCATCAGATGGTCAGATTTTATTTTTTAAAGATTGTATCATCTAGATGTTCCGCATTTGATTGCACTCATTTTTGATATCTGTTGAGAAGGTAAAGCATTCCAGCTTCAATTTAGCTCATTTCGTGACTAGTATTTCCTTCCAGGTCAGCGATTTTCTCGAAGTATTTACATAAACTTTGCTCTTAAAACTCACAGAGAATCGATGGGTGTCAAATCTTATTATCGCGCTGGCCATGGGACATCATCAAATCATTTTCTTTGAAAATGCGGTGGGCAAATTATTTTATACATCATCTTAGACAACTGTTGTGTTACATGTTGCGTGCAGTTCATTGGCATGGTTTAAGCAAGATGAAGACACTTGCCACGCTCCAAGGGTCACTATGGACCAACTTCCTGAGCTCTTTCCACTAAATTTGGATAATCGGTTTGGCAAAGCCACCAAGAATACTAAAATTTATCGCCGTGGATGTTTTCCTGTGGACGTACCTCAAGAGCAAACCTTATGTTAAGGATGAATCCTTAAGAATATAAACGACAGGTGTTACTCAAATTATGAAAAAATAACGGCTCTGGATGAACTTTTGCAACAGATTGTAGTCAGTAATATCACATAGGCTATTCTTTATCCCGGGAAATAACTTTGAAGTATTTATTTCACGAGCCCAATCAGCTTTATGGAATTTGTCATGAGGTATCTAGCCGTTCTAGCGCGGAAGCGTTCAGTCGCTGGTCCGACCGAAATGAGTAAGGGCATACAAATACGGCATTTGCATTTCGACATTCTTTTTCGTTACGTGATTGTCTTGATTTTGATTTGATTGGTGTTTTGTTTTACTCCAAGTATAATACTATGAATAAGTAAATAACATACGCCACAGAGGCTGTGAGGTACTTCAAGTATTATTTATTGTGATTCTGAATATAAACTTGACATTAATTTATTTATTTATCAAATTAGGGACATCAATCAGAGATATCCAAAATAGACACCACAGTATAGTTAAACACACTAAGTTGTAATCACTGTTATTGATAATTTATATGTATGAAAATACAATGATATATTGTTCAATTCAGTATCGAAAATCATAAAACAGAGAATGGGAACGTAACTTACTAGGGAGTGACCAAAATTCTGTTTTTTATGAAGTATTTAAACTTTAACATTTCACAAGCAAAAATATATGAAAATTTACCATAGTTATTGAAGGATGTACAGTGTCTAGAATTCACTCTTATCCGTATATATACTAATATTAATCTTCTATGCAAGGTAAAAGCATTCAATTTGATTGTTCAAGATTCTGTGAAGAAAACATAAATCAGATAGCAAGAGGTAAGATTTTGAAATGTTCCATTACCAAGCTTCAGAACTTATGTTGTACAGACTCAATCCTCCTTGTAGACCTCGTACTGTAGGTTTCAAATAATAGACGTGAAAGATATTGCGATATTACTATGTAATAATGTAATGATAACAATGTAGCAGGGCTGTGAAGCATCTAGACTGACTTCTAATAAAGCCAACATCTTATTCGTTTTATTTATGGTTTCATCTATATGGCTATTAAAGCTCCATTTCATATCTAGTGTTACTCCCAGGTCCTGAAGATTGCTCACCGAATTAATTTTGACATACTCTATCTAATACGCATACTGGAATATAGGTTACCTTTTGTCGTGAATGTTATTGACAAGCATTTTTTAGTATTAAGTGGCAGGTCATTTCTGTGACAATAATTGTCGAGTTTGTCCATATAATCTGCGTGAAGAAGAAACTGGCAATTGCTGAAACATTGTGCGGTATCATTTATATGAATTAAGAAAAATAATGGACTTAAGTGGCTACCCTGAGGAACCGCCGATGATGGAGTAACGACTCTGGATTTGTACCCGTTTATACACTCGAAGAATTCTCTATCGCGCAAATGTTGCATTAAAGTATTGAATAAAAATGTCCATTGCCAAAGTAATGATCGCATTACTCTGAATATTGCATTTCTTTTCATAAAACGAAATCTGTCACACAAGAAATACGAATAAAGTATACTTTACAATAGTTCCCCAAGAACAGATCCGCGGGTTTAAAGTAGTAATAGAATATGTCTGACATGTATGCACGTAGAACCTGAATAAAACATTAACCAAATGAGTAGGCTGGCTGATAAACAAATAGTACAAGGTTTTTTAATCGTTTATTTGGATATGTACATACCAATAGCAAGTTATAAATATTGTAAATAAATCTCCAAATACATATATTATCCATATATCAACAAAATAAAATATAATATGTAACATCTATTTACAGAAATTATTCCATACTGTACACAACACATGAAGATACACAATCATTTATTCATAATATATATTAATAATACGTTTATATTATATTATAAAGAAAATTGATCTGACGATAACTTTAAATCCTACGTTAATACTTTTAAAACGTACACGCATTAAGAATACATAAAATTACAAATGTTTGTGGTTTAAGAAGTGAATATTGTTCTATATTCTGTCTGTTTCTATAAGCAGTAGATGTAGATGCAACAAAAGTAAAAAAAATGCAAGAGCAAAACATTTTCACTACCGCAATACTTTCCTCACTTGCCTGGGAAGTATGAGGGCTAGTTTTAAAGTAAGAACCTATTGCACATCTTGTCATGTGACTTCCGTTTAACCTCAGATACCCTTGGCCGTTCACTACATCGCCACTACTTTTCACTTCTCTATCGGAGTTGGTTTTGTGATACCTGTTTTGCTTGTCACCATGTTAATCAGTAAGCCACTGATTGTGAAGTGCGCTCGGTTTTTACGTGCAAAAAAGTTCGTCCTAAAGAAATTCACAGGTAGCGTGTTGAAGTTTATTTAAAACCGTAAACGGGGCCAGCTCTCTAACAGGGTCGTTTTACTTCACGACAACGCTCGGCCTCACGTTGTGGCACGAACGCAGACGCAACTGGACAAGTTTCGTTGGGAATCATTGGCTCATTCACCAAACAGCCCTGACTTAGCAGCATCAAACTTTCATCTTTTTCCAAAACTTAGTTAATTTCTTAGTGGAAAGTGCTTGAAAAATTATGATGTTGAAATAAACAGTTATTATCTGATTTAACGGACAGGCGGCAGCGTTCTTTGAGGACGGGATCCAAATGCTGGTGTCACGACTTGAAAACTGTTTAAATATTTATGGTGACTATATTGAAAAGTAAAAAAAATATTCATATTTTAGTTTGTGATATTCATAAATAAACCTTCTCAGACTTCATTACAAAACGGTTCTTACTTAAAAAACAAACCTCGTGAAATACATTCAAATATGATCTAGAACCAAGAATTCAAATTCAGGGTGGCCAATATATAACTGACTGATTTAAATTGCGCGCCATTTTTGATACACGCATTTCAGTAGATGTGACCGTAGTAGTTGTTTAAAGCACTTGTGTCCAATTCATCATGAAGCGCTACATAATCCTACAACGCGTCCGTATTGTTAAAACGTTTTACTTAAATAATGAGTCGATTGTTGCAATGATTCGGAAGCCACGACAAGATTTCGGTCGAAATAATGTGACCAGTGTCAACACTATTTGTCAGTTGGTGTGGAAATTTGACCAAAAATGTGAAGTTAGAGACTTGCCAAGGTCAGGCCGTGTTCGAACCGTTCGTACTCCGGAAAATACAAAGAGATTTCGAGAAAGTGTAGTGGAGCGCCCTGAGACGTCTACCAGACATCGTAATGAGGAACTGGGTATTCGTCGCACGTCATCATGCACTATTTTAGAAAAAGACTTGCAGTTGCGGCCATACAAAATTCAGTTAACCTAAGAACTACAGCCTAGTTGCAGCTTAATCCCAAAATAACGATTTTTGCCGACAACTGACAATGAACGATGGAGCCCATTTGGATATGAACGGATTTGTTAATAAGCAGAATTGTCGTATCTGGGCATTAGAGAACCCGCGTGTCATCTATCAACGACAACTACATCCTCGTCGAGTCACAGTTTGGTGCGGTGTTTGGTATGGAGGTGTCATTGGTCCTTACTTCTTTGAAGACGCTGCAGGTAATTCTCTTACTGTCACTGGCGAGCGCTACCGTGATATGGTGCAAAAGTTTCTGGCTCCTCAAATCCAACAATTTAACCTAAATCTTTTGCGAACAATATTTCCGGGACGTTTAATTTCTCGATTTGGTAATGTCAACTGGCCACCAAGGTCACCGGATTTAACGGCTCCTGATTTTTTTTATGGGGATTTTTGATAAATAGGGTTTATGCTAACAAACCAAATATTGTAGAGCAGCTCAAGAACAATATTACGGAAGCTGTTGAAAATATTCCTCCCGAAACCTACCAAAAAGTGATGGAAAATGTAATCGATGGACAATGTAATCGATGGAAAATGTAATCGATGGAAAATTTAATCGATAGAAAATGTAATCGATGGAAAATGTAATCAACAGGACTCAGGTTTGCGCGGCTTCTAGAGGCGGACATTTGACTAATATCATTTTTCATACATAATTTCTAGGTTTTATTTTATTTCATTTCACAAATATTCAAGATACAAACCAGTCAGTTACACATCGGCCACCCTGTATAAGCCTCACCACGAGAGAAACGCTGTAGCACATAGACAAAAATCACACTGTTACCATTTATTAACGTATTCTACCAGAAGATATGCAACCTAATGCTATAATCTAGCTTAAAAAAAAATTGTCTGAAGAGAAGTGAGATACCCGGGCCTCATCTATGAGAATTTGTCACAGCTGTTTCTCCTCTCCGCACTAACTAGGAATCTACTTTGAAAAGCTTGGTGTCTTATAGATGACGTCCTGGAATCTCAAATCATCTCGCACAATTTTTTGGACACTGGAATATACTTTCAGGATAACTTTTTTCAGGTACAATACGTTATTCAATGCTGTTACCAACTGGTATTTTCGCACAGACTTGTTTTACCATTTGAAAAATCACATCTGGTACCAACTTATACTATTTAAAACATCAAGTTGACGTAACAAATTGGAATGCAATTTATAACTTACCGCTCTCGAATAAATTCAAATATTTGGCATTAAATATGTATCCACTTGTGTCAGTAAGTACATGTTACAGTAACTAGCCTTAAATATAAGTATCGGTAATCGAATCAGAGTGTTTCAAAAGGAGCTGCTCCATCTAGAAGCCAAATTACATCTGTCTAAATTGAGGAATAAGCTCAGAGAAGAGTAGAATACTATAGGTTTTGAGAAACAACATTTTCAGACCTCACTGTCTATAACGTGAAGTAATAACTGCAGATCTACTTCATTTTGGAGGCTTTTGTAAATTGTAATATTCTCTTAGACTTTGGTACTTTCAAATCCTAGTAAAACACTCCCATAAAATCATATCACCCCAAATTAAGAATGGTTGCAACATGGTAAATCACGTTTATCAAAAGTCGATCTGCTAAGCCACAAAGATCACAAATTAGAAAAATATTTGGCGTTTTGGAAAATGACTACTCATCAAAAACATTGTATTGATGTATTATTTCTGATCTTTTTTGCAGTTCAAAGCTCTGCCATGAATGAATCAAAGTATCAGACTTTTTTTTATCAAAAAAACTTATCACCCAATTTTCCCTATATATGAAAGATCAGTTTTATCATTGGTAAACGTATTCTACCTGGAAATAACCAACAATATACTGCATTTTGGCGCTCAAAAAAGGACCTGAAAGATCCTAGCGCCATCCATGAGAGTAGGAGCAGAACACAGAAATGAATTATAAACCTACGTTGTAAAGAGTTAGTGTTTGGGTCTGCTACTCTTTCATACATGACGCTAGGGTCCTCCTTCCCTTTTTGGCACACATCTAGTGCGTATTTAGATTGAGTATTTTCAGGTGTAATAAGTCAATCAACGCCTGAAGAAGCAGTGCATACGATTGGCTATCTTCAGATGGAATACGCTTATAAACGGTTTTATATTATTTCTCGACACAAGATCTCAGATTCTTGCCGGAACTACCAAAATCTGTTTAGCAATGCTTGAGCTCTTAATATGGGGTAGTTAGAGAATAGATATCATTCATAGAAAAAATAATGCCTCTTAGATTCACGATAAGGGCGCCTCAGTTTTCTTTTTGTCTTTTGTTCCTTCGGAGGAAGGTGCATTGGTACTGTTTGTAGTACAGCTTATCACTGGAAGATTGTCCACTGCTGCCGCTCTTTCCGCTAAGAATCTTTCGAAATCGCTACTGGTCACTGATTCTTCCGCACCGCCTGTCTACAATGACGGGAAAATACATTAGAGTAATAGCAACTAGCAAAATTATGCTACATTCATCGCACGATCCTAATACAGTGTAGTGAACAAAGACATTTAAAAACTCGTTTTCCATCCAGCGGGATATATTTCACAGCGGCTGACCGAATTCGCCTTACCAATTCCGTCTAGTCATTGGTAAGTGGGAAATATTAATAATATGTGAACAACAGTTCTGAATACGGTAGTTTTACCAGATTTACACATTATTACCAACGTTAGAGACTAATACAAAGATGTCACTTGCTGATCAGATGAACATCTCAGTAGACACCAAAACTTAATGGATACTCGGGAAGTAGGGTTTAGAGTCCAAACTTTAGACTATCATCAAGAGGTGTTGTCATCCCGTCGGTCGAAAACGGTGAACCGCTGCGGAATATACACTGCTCCTTAGAAAACGAGCCTTAAGGGGACATGGATTTGCATAAATAACAGGTTTTAACGTTTTTTGACGGTTACGGACATGCAACACACACAGACATGCATGGTTTTTTCACAGTGTATAAAAGAACATGTACAGCGCAAACGAAAAGAGAAAAACGTTTTTAAAAACAAGTCGGTATTACAAGTTTCTAAATTGACAAAAACGATACCTCCTATCCTGTAAAATTAGACAGGGGCTTTTGGCTGGATTTCAGCAAATGAGATTCCATATTGGGTAAACTTTTGTTTATTGTATGATGTTTCGACCACCACTTTTAAATTAGCTTATGTACTTGAGTGATATTGTCATATTTGCGGTATTGGTTATATTTTTTAAGTGAAAACCGTGCATCGGATCGAAAAGATCATGCACCCAAATCCTTAGAAATGACGGAACATCAAGAATAATTTATATTCTGAGAGAAATCAGTAGCGTACCATCAATGTCTGCCAAAATAGGCAGTTGAAATTCTGACGAACGCCACTGGTGTAAATTAAAAAAATGAAGTACATTGAAAGATGTCACTTAATATATAGTACATGTATGACAAATTCCATTAACATATCTGAAGTCGTATTTCCCGATGGCAATAATTAATGATTTATTTTTGAAAATTTTACCACTCCGTATGTCAAAAGTTGAGACGTTTACGGCATACGTTCATAAGATTTCTTCTTAAAATTGACCCAAATATCGCCCCTTATATATTGACATTCAATCTGGAAACACCATGTATATTTTCATGTTCACAATTTTCATGCCGTTGTCAAAAAAGCATGTGATTAGTTGTTGAAAATAAATGTATTTTGTGTCTAATAATTAGCATTAATTTTAATATTGTCCTGAAACTTGTTCACAACAAAGAGCTAGGAGGAAAAGGGAGACGAGGGTTGCAAGACAACACTCTCTCAGAAATGGAGAAGTATCTCCAGACATCTCCGCCAGGCACGGGAACTCATTGAGGGCCCAGTGCTAAGGATAGACGTTTCTGCCTATCTCTGGATAGAGCCAACCTAAGGTTGCTGGTGGGACTGTTGTCTGGCCATAACACGTTAAGGCGCCACCTGCACGTGATGGGGGTGGCTGAGGATCCCTTGTGTGAACGCTGCGGGGTAGAGGAAGAGACCTCGGCGCGCGTTTTGTGTCGCTGTGAAGCTCTGAGCTACTATAGGCAGACTGGGGTCCATTACTTTGGAACATCAGGACGTCAAGGAGCTTGGACTCAAGGTGATTCTCAACTTCGCTAAAAGGGCGAGGCTTGAGATCTAAGAAATGTAGAGGTGCATAAGGGCCCGCTTAAGCGGCCTATTCACTGGCTCCTTATGGTGGCCGGAATGCCTCTAATTTCAAGATTAATTCATACATTCATTCAAGCTGCTGAAAGAGATATTATCTTGACTGGGGATATTTTATGAATCCACGCATTCATGAAATAATCCTTCAATATTGGAGATATTACTTTGAGCAGATTTTAAATTGAGCGTATTCTTATCATTCCTTCGATAGCTCCTCCAGGGACTTGATTCTAAATGAGCTACGACCGTTGAAATTACTTTCGATGGCGCTTTGTGACGATATACTTGATTCGCTATAATAATTTTGATACCTAATTATATCGATCTTCTATATTTAAATTATCATGACATTGTCAAGACTATCATAGCGAATCAAGTACATTGTCACAAGGCGCTATCGAAATCAATTTCAAAGGTCGAAATTCATTTAGAATCATTCCCCAGATCTCCAATCAATCAGGTGGCGCCACCGTCTGACAAACGTCAATGGTGTTGCCATCGTTTAACGTGAAGCTAGTATATTCCCGAAACAAGATGCATTCAGTTTTCTAGTTAGAGTTAACATGGTTTCAATTTGATTCAAAGCACGATGACGGCACGGCTATTATGTAAAAAACCTAAAAACGTAAAAAACTGACCAAATGTCACCTTGCGGACTAGGTAGCTTTTAGTGTGCAAATAGTTCATTCCACGTTTGCTGCTGTTGTATTACTATCTTAAAAAGTGACATTGCGTCGTTTTTCTACAACATGTTAACTCAGCACAAGCTGTTGTACACGTGTTGTGAACTCGTTTAGTAGCTGTATGTGTTGCTTGAACGTCAGCGAACAGCGACTATACCGCGCAAATGTGGAATGAACTATTTGCACACTAAAAACTACATAGTCTGCAAGATAACATATCGTTGTTTTTCTTGACCTCTTTTAGGTTTTTGACATAATACCCCTGTCGGTTCACTGGTCATTCAGTATTGAATAGAGATCAACGTCATTCAAAAGTTTGTGAAATCCGATACACTTTTTTTTTTGGTGAAATCCGGCCAAAACTACAATAGGGCGAATGACACTTACCGTTTTACCACCATTACCGAGCCAATTTTCAATTTCGTCAAAATCGGTATCGTCACTAGTCTGCACATACAAAGCAAAATAATTAAAAACAAGAGAGTAAAAAGCCATTTGGGAACAATGATCGGGAACAATCAAACAAAAAGCGTGTTGTATGTCAACTTACAAAAGTTCTGCCTTCTGTCACTGAGCTCAGGCCGCCAGCTACTTGGTCGGGGTTAATGTTGTCTTTGTAGTTACTCCCACTAAAACAAAAAACATGCAGTCAAGTAGGTTGAATATGCACTTCCTAGGCAATGCTGTCATCAGTTCATAAAGGATTACATCTGACATTGGTCAGTCAAATATGCCCATACTATTATTCGATAGAAGTGTTCCTTGCTATATCGACAGTTGGCGGAGCATGTGGAAAGTTGACTCATGTTGCTGTATGCCGTAAGCCGTAGTCACTTAGCCAGTCGTGGCATCGATAGCGCGACACAGGGTTGTGAAACGTCTTATAGGCGAACTGGCAACACCAAGGTCATCCTCTCCAGGCGTAATCGCGGAAACTGCATTACTTACTGCATAAGTGACGTGCCGCTTGCCAGGATTCTCTATCTTTATCTAAATTTGAAAATATCAAAGATGGTGTTCGTTTTGGTTAATATCCAGATTATCAACGCTAATGCTTTCGGAGATATATCGTGAAAAATGAGCATAAAATATAAAGCAACACTATCAGTAGCTGTGATGGTATACATGAGATGTATTGCGACTACTGTGGGAGATGCAGAAGTTCAGGAGACTCTGTCATAAAGTGCTACAGGTAGGCTGTGAACTTAACATATCGGAATGATGTAGTTGGTAGATTATTTAAAATTGTATGTCTGGATTCAGCCTCTTTATAATCCTTGTAGTTGGCACCGTTATATAAAGTATGAAAGGCCGACAAATTAAAGGCATAGAACTGAGCAAACTAATGAAAAGTTACTAGCTTATTTACAAAGAATTATGAATTTCATTAGTGTTTTCTGTATTGTTTTGGAATTATCAAGAAGCAGTACAATGAAGTGAGACACCTGTAATAATTTTTATACCATTGTCAACCGCATATGATTATTTTTCGAGACCAAATATAGTTGGTGCTTCATAATTAGGGTTGGATTTTATTATTCTGACCCTAGTTCTCAGCAAAACTGCTGAAAGAGATATTACCCTTATTGGGGATATTTTATGAATATATGTTTATGAAATAGTCCTTCAATTTCGGAAATATCATTTTCAGAAGATTTCAAATTATGAACAAACGAAATCTCAGGCACATATTCCTAGCATTCCTTACTCCAAGCGCATTCTTGGCATTCTTTCGATAGTTCCTCCAGATCTCCAAGCAAGTAGGCAGCGCAACCATCTGACAAACGTCAACGGTGTTGCCATTGTTTAACGTGCAGCTCTCACTTCTTTAGTATTATGTGTTTAGTGGCCCGACAGTTAGACAACATTCATCGAAGAGACCATAATGTAGAGCAGAGGTAGACAGGGTCCAGAGACGTGTATTTCTCTTTTCATTCTAAGTTTAAGGGCAAATGTATGGGGAATCTATGATGTATGAAATATGTCAAACAGGTACGTAGAATTACCGAGGTCGAGAGCATAAAAATATACCTCTACAACCCTGAATTTTTAACTTCCTCTGAAGCATCAAATCGAACTTTGTGCGATTAACATTCTTTTTCCAATTTTTTGTTCCGTAGCTCGATCGCCACTCTTTACCGATTTTCAAAAACTACAAAGCTTTTTCATCCAAATCCAATTAGTACCTTTCAAGTTATAGACGGGCTAAGGATTAACGGACAGACCGACGGAAATGAGGGATACGGTTTTTCGTGATGTTCATGTCAAATAGTATGCGAAAACATCTCATTTTCGAAATGTTTCGCGAATACAATACGTCTTCGCCAGTAGTATTCGAAGTAAAGATGGAATGAAGAAATGGTTAATAAGTAGGATTTTACTGACTATAGAAAAAAGGAAACAGTGATATGCCTCCCACCTTCATTAAAATTTAGAAAATGAGATTAGTACTTACGTTTTGCACTGTTGTTTTTGAGTTTTTCAAAAACTTTTTTTTATTTATTCCAGATATAAAATGTTTCTTTAAGATGTCAATATTTTACATTCAGAGTAATTCTGTATGTTTTCGCTATTTGCTATAAACCAGAAGAGGCAAACATGGTCTCTAAAATTCAAACGAAAAATTTCGTATTTTAGAATGTGGCCCTGCTTCGCTAGGCTTCTGAAGGATCTATTCTTTAACATTGAAAATTGGAAGCAAAATGTATGGACACAGATTATCGATATCGGGAATGAAATCAAATCTTATCTTCTGATCCCTTCAGCGTTATATACACCAGATTTAAATAAGTGCTATTTTTCTTGATTGAACGCATTTAAATGTTTTTTCCAATACGCGAACGAAAAAATTAGGATAAACCGCAAAAATAGAGCAGTGAAGCCTCGTCCATTTCACAAAACATTCATGATTTCCAAAAATTAAAGTTCAAGAAGAAATGTAATTAAAAACTGAACGAGAATTGAGTAACAACGATATCTAAAAAGTGTATCTATAATCTTACCTTTTCTTTGCTGTCTCATACGAAGTGTTCCTTGATTGGGCAAACATATCAAATTCATCTGACTCCTTTTTCGATTTGTCCATAATTGCATCCTTTTTGCTTGCCGAAAGATCTGAAACAAGTTTTTGTTCTTGCATTGACAACACATAATTGTAATAACATTATATAACAGCAACATCCAGCAACACACCCAATTTTACCTCATCTTATTAGAATGTGTGATATCTACTCTTAACAGGCGTTCGTAGTATATACAGGGTGCCCCAGAAGTCGAAGTCAAGCCGGAAACTGGCCAAGTCATATTAGTGATCTGAAAAAATCTAAGTCGTGTAGTTTCCGAATAATAAATACGCTTTAAAAAAATCGGAAAAATCTACACCCTTTGACGGAGTGACTGACATTCTACGTAAGACAGTTAAAAACGCCACTTTTATTATTATTATATTATTCGTGAATGTATTTATTAAACCCTCAATAAATGTTCAAACAGCATTCCTTCAGCAGAAATGCAAGCAATATTAAAAACGGGATATCAGACGAGCGAATGTTCCGTTATTGTCAGCAGAAAAAAAACAAGTGGATTTAAGTCAGGTGAACGGACTGGCCACAAAAATGTACCAGACCGCCTTATCCATCTGCTCGGGAATTCCGCATCAAGATATTCTCTAACTGAATGGGCATAGTGCGCCGATCAGACGTCTTGCTAGTACCACATGTAAATGCTTAGTGGCACGTCTTCCAATAAATTTGGTAAATGATTTTGTAGATAGTCTGAATAAATTTCGCCATTCAAGAACTCTGGCAATCAAAGGGTACAATTTAGAATCTAGGTCCACATGTTTAAAACGATACTGTGATTTATCTTGTCTCGTCAAATGTGTATTTTCTACATGCCACTCGTGTAAGTTGTGTAGATTCACGCAACCATCTTTTTTTAAATGTCGATTTATCAGTCCATAAAAGTTTCTCTAAAAATCGCGGATCTTCCCGGTGTCTCTGTAACATTGTTTGACGGAACTCAACTCGGAAGGTAATCCCGAGGTTGTAGAGATTGTGCTCGCTGTACGTGGTACGGGTGGAGCTCGTTCTTTTGCAAGATTCGGTGGGCTGTACTTTGGGACACTCTCGTGCTTGCTACCATTTGACGTACTGAAGTACTCGACTGCTTATACAAAGGATATTATAAAAATTTTGCAATGGAGCTTTATTTATTGACTTCATTCAAAGTAATTTCACCCACATTCAATACACTTCTCCATCCGCCAAAACCAGTTCTTAAACTAGCTCTGCTAAGTTTCACCACCATATGATTTGGTAATCGTACCTCTGAGAGTAAACGTGAAAGTACACGACAGATTGTTTTTATATCTTTTTGTTAACTATCATAACTAAGTCGACTTCTGGGACCCTCTGTATATACAGTAATGGACAAAAGTATATATACAAATATGAATATTTACCTAAATACTTTTAGAAAACGAATTCATACTTCATTTCTCCATAAACAAATGCGTTATTAGTAGAAAAACTAAATTCATTGTTATTACATTATCTACAATGAACACAATACAAGTCTGAATATAAGCACTTTTTTATGATGGACAAAAATATGTAGACAAATTCTTTTCAACATTAGTCTAGTACAGTTTCGTGTCAGAAGAGGATTAGTTTGTGTTCATCAAGTATTGTGGAATAAGTTGAGTGATTTTAAGACCATGCCGCGTTGTCCATAATTTTTTTTCGATATGAAAACTAAGATCATTGAGTTATACAAAGATGGTCAACGTCAAGTCGACATTGCTAAAAATTTGAAGCTGAAGCGTAAAGCAGTTTGGGCAATATTGAACAAATATAAACAAAAAGGTATCTTGGAAGCCTGTAAGAAAAGTGGTCGGACTAGAAAACTAAATGCTAGATCACTTAGATTAATAAAAGTAATTTCGTCCGAAGGTCCGTTTAAAACCCCAAAACAAATAAAAGCCGAAATCGAGACAACAGGAATTGCCAGTGTTTCTTCTAAAACTATAAGTAGAAGATTAAATCAGGACTGTCCATCACAAGTATAAATTACTCTCAAATATCGAATATGCATATACATACCTATTAAAACTCAGTAATAATGTTGTATAGAAAGATTTTATAATGCGGCCCTCCAAACTGCATTTTTTTTTGAAGTGGCCCTTGAGTCACATTAAGTTGGACAGCCCTGGATTAAATGATTCGAAGTTATTTGCACGTCGCCCGAGTAAGAAGCCGCTAATCTCGAGGAAAAACCGTAAGGACCGATTAAAATTTGCACGGTTGCATCTTGATTGGAGCATCTGTGACTGGAAGAGGGTAAGTTTCAGTGACGAATCCAAGTTCAATATGTTTGGATCAGATAGTGTTCATTACGTTAGACGTCTTAGTGGACAAAGATTGAACCCCAAGTACACTTTGCCCACTGTCAAACATGGAGGCGGGTCTGTTTGGGATGCGACCTTTACATGGAATAGATGGCATTATGGATAAGTTTGTATACACAGACATACTAAAGCATGTCATGTTACACTATATGGAAGACAATATGCCCTCAAGATCAATCTTCCAGTAAGATAATGACCCGCAGCACACTTCAAATCTCGCACAGAAATTCTTTCTGGATGAAAAAATACCAGTTCTCAAATGGCCTTCACAGTCTGCCGATATAAACCCCGTTGAACATCTATGGGAATACTTAGATAAGCAAATACGAGATAAAAGTTATTTAAACAAGGATGGACTTTTTGCCGCTTTAGAGCAAAAAAGCAGACAGATTGATGAATCTTATATCAAGAAACTTCTACAATCTATACTGAGACGATGCCAGGCGGTGATTGATAATAATGGTTATGCTACAAAATATTTACACAAACATGGTTGGCTTCTATAATTCAATGAACTGTGCTTCTTTTTTCTATAATTATTTTGCTTTGTCTATATATTTTTGTCCTTTATAGTTCCAGTTTTTTTCAATAAATTTTTTATTGAAGGGAGTCTAGTGAATTTATTTTTTATTGTATAAGTATTATGCTATAACGGATTATGTATACAAGTTGGTGTGTTAATAAAACAAGTTAAAAAAGAAATACAGCACAATATTAATTTGTCTATATACGTTTGCCCATTAATAATAATATAATATTTATTCACTCAATGTACAAAGATAACAAACAACATGAATGAATAAATATAAACTCAAAGGCCCAATAGAAGGCATCGCATGTACATGGACCAATAATTTTAAGTTGCAACTGTAGAATGCAAATGACAAAAAGGGACAAAAATTAGTTACAGTAGATTATGTATTTACTTGATGTTCGTATTTATTATTACTGTCTGTCAACACGACTTACCAAGTTTGCCCATCTTATCAGCGACGTCATCTCCAAAATCAATCAGACTATCCCCGGCGGACGCTGGGGCCCTCTTGCTGGGACTTGGCCCGGCTGCGATTCCCGATGAGGCGCTCTGTTTTGCAAACGCCTCTCGGTTTTTCTCCCAGCGACTGTACCGAAGAAATAGGTTGTTCAGATCGTCGTTACACCGTAGTAGCTCCTGAAACTGCCCATCGTCGTTTGGAAGTTTGTTGATCAATTCTACCAGACGTTTTTGCATCTGTTGGCATACTGAATGCAGTTCCTGTAACAAATTAGTTATATTTTAATTCCAATTCGTACGAAAATATTTCGCTTATTTAAAGAGTATAAGTGATATTTTTGATATCTAAGGTAATGAATAACAAATATCTCTGACAAGTTGTAATAATAACATTAATAACTATTTAGAAATAGGCCCACACGGGTATTACGTATCTTGAAAAGTGACATTATGTCAATTTTTTTTGATTTTATGTAGGTTTCTCTACAAGATGAAAACTTAGCACTAGCTGATGGATACTTTTGTAAACTCGTTTTGTAGTTGTAAGTGTTGCCTAAACGTCATCAGGCTTCAGTTAGCAATGTTTGGCTATGATGTGATGTATCGTCTGCTTCAGAGATGGCATTACTGGAGGTAACGGCATAGTGACATAATAATATGTGTTGATGATAATTCCATTGGATTCTTGTCTCAAATACAGTTTCTTGAGATTCAAATCTAGAAATTAGTTGCGCATCCACTTTTTCTTATCCATTCTAGAAATTACAAATGCAAATTTGCTGAATTTTAAAAATGAGAGATAAGAAATAATTATATTCACCATACACTGTCGAATTACAAGTCATATACATGCTAACAGTATTTACATACAACGCGGGCGCGGTGGTGATTTCTCGTAATACTCCTCAAAGTTTTTGAAAACACAAAAAAACGTAAAAAACCGTAATTTATAACTTTTAACATGACCTGCCTTCAGAACGGTCAGATATAAATAACTCGTCGGGCACAGCTAATAGATATACTTCATTGGCATCATATTCAGTAATCATATTCTCACACAGCAAACGTGGAATGACTGCACCCTAAAAACTGTCTAGTCTGTAAAATGACATTTTATAGTTTATTTTTTGACGTTTTAAAGGTTTTTACATAATATCCGTGCCGTTCTGCAGGTAAACAGACGACGCTGATTGGTCAAATATGCAATTTGAGGTTAGGAAAAATTGAAATTGCAAGAGTACATTTCTATTTTGTTAATAAATTAAATGGTATAATATTCCGCGTAGGGATCTAAAAGTTAAATAGCTATGAGTTGACATACAGATTTTGAGAATAACTTCTGTTTTGATAAAGTTATAAATCGCTCTTTTCCAGGTGCTACGTGTTGAGAGATGCGAAAAAATGGCGCACCTTGAACTATTCCTTTGTAAGTCTTGGTATTCGTATTGAACGAGTAGTTGCCGTTGACGCTGGGATACGTATCATCCCCAAAACCGAGGACGATTATCGCAGGATAATCCGACTTTTCAAAGAGGAAAACATTCCTCATCACACTTTCCCTTTGCCTAGTGAACGCAACATCCATGCGGTTATCAGAGGGATCCCAGCGTCAACCACCGAACAGGAGGTCAAAGATGAGCTAGTACAGAAGGGTTACGCTCCCTTTCACATCATTCGCCTAAAGCGCAACGGCGGCGTGCCCATGCCCTTGGTGGTGGCGATCCTGCTTAAGACGGAGAAGTCACAGCAAGTGTTCAACGAGCACGAATTGCTGGGGATCTCTATCAGAGTCGAAGTTCAGAACTCTCGACTGATTGGGCAGTGTCACCGCTGCCAGAAGTATGGACACGTATTGCACTGCGCCGCCAAAGTGTCTAAAATGTGCCCAAGACCACATGACACATATGTGCCCTCAAACAAGACACGAGGTGCACAGATGTGCGAACTGTGGGGGGACCATCCGGCAAATAGTCCTACCTGTAGATTTACTCCTAGAAGAAATCTACAAGTCATCGCACAAAGGCGAGCAAAGTCATACGCGAACGCAGCAAGAGATGACAAATCAACTGCTCCTGCTGTTTCGAGCTCATCTACGACTACGCAAAATGTGGACCTAGCAACAGCGCTCAGGCCCCTACAGCAGATTATTAGTCTCCTGATAAGCGCCACTCAGGCATTGCAGGCGATCTTTACGCTAAATGGCTAGGTACAATAGCAGACAGCCTGCATTCATCAAAATTCTTTTCTGGAATTATTTGGGTCTTAGGGATGTCCCCAAAAATCGGGAATTTCATCAAGCTCTTTTCGATGAAAGCGTAGATGTCTCTCTTCTGCAGGAAACTGCTTAATCCGGGAGATCGTCTAGCTTTCTCGAATTATGATGTTATCCGCGCTGATAGATTAACTGGACGGGGTGGCGGTTTGGCAGTGCTAGTAAAACGTGGTATTGACTATTACAGAGGCACAAAAGCTGAGATGCAGAGCATCGAGGCAGCGTCCGTGGTAGTGAATATGACGGGAGGTATCTCGTTGAAAATCACATCGGTTTATGTCAGATGTGGTGGCAGGCTGGAAGAGACGGATCTGGAAGTCCTGCTTGACTGCTCGGGTCCGCTTATTGTAGCAGGGGACTTCAACTGTAAACATCGAGCATGGTACTCTAGGTTAAATTCCACCAGTGGGATTCGACTTTACAACCATGTGATACGAAAGCGAGAACAACTCCCGCACATCCACGGTCCTAGGGGCATAGTCTGTAGGACAGAGGAAAAGGTCGAGGTTTTTGCTGATGCAATGGAAAGTCAGTTCTCTCCCAACTATGACCTTGATAATGACCTCGACGAGGAGCAACATATCGTAAGATCCGTCAGGAGATATTTTAGGGCCAACGGCGTCAGTGGCAGTAGTGCCTCCTTTATTGATTTTTCCTTAGAGGAATCTTCAGAAGTTTCTTCAACTGAAGAGCTGCATGGCACATCAGCGGAATCTCCTGAGACTCCGCATTGCACACCAGCACAGCTCCAAGATCATATTAAAGACCTCAAGGTGCGTAAAGCACCTGGAGAGGATCGAATGACTAATAAGGCGCGCTGAAGCTACTTTCGCGGAAGTCCTTAACTTATCTCGTGGCAATAATCAATGACATGCTAAGGACCCAGCACTTCCCAACGGCGTGGAAGACCGCTGATGTCATAATGATTCCAAAGAAGGTGGGTTCGATATTCCCTTAGGATTACCGCCCCATTAGTCTACTGTCAGCTCCTTCTAAGCTCCCTGAAAAGGTGATTCTACGTCACCTTGCAAATTTCTCGGCAGACCACAATGTGATTCCTCACGTGCAATATGGCTTTCGGTCTGAGCATAGGCCGGAGCTACAGGCCATAAGGCTTGTTGAACGAGTAACCAGGGGGTTCACCCGTAACGAAAGTACTGGCATCTTGCTTCTGGATGTCTCAAAGGCATTTGACAAGGTGTGGCATAAGGGCGTTCTCTACAAATTGATCGATAAGGGCTTCCCCTTCTGGCTCATAAGACTTTTGAAATTCTTCCTCGAGGGTAGGAAATTTTGGATCAAAATTAATAATGTTCTTTCGACAACACGGCCCATCAAAGCCGGTGTCCCTCAGGGTTCGGTTTTTGGACCAGTCCTTTATTCACTTTTTATTCATGACGTTCCTTGCCCCAGCAACTGTGTAATCTATCTCTATGCTGATGACACTGCCCTGGTGGCCCCGTCGTGCTCTGGGGATCTAGTTTACGACAGGCTGCAAAGTGCAGTGGACGAGGTATTGGAACGGGCGAATCGGTGGCTGATCAAATTTAATCATTCGAAAACGCAGGCAATCTATTGTACTAAAAAACGTAGCGGCGCCCCGTCTGAGGTTTCAGTGAATGGAGGTCGGGTACCATGGAAAAGCTCTGCTAAGTATCTCGGTGTCACTCTTGACAAGGGGATGACCTGACAGAAGCACACTGAAGCGTTAAAAACTAAATTCCAAATCTCGTTTCGGCAACTGTACATCAAAATTAAGTTTGATCAACAAAGTTCGGCTATACAAGATGGTTTTAGACCAGCGATCACTTAAGCAAGTGCGGCTTGGTGTTTTCTCGCCAAAACGCATTTGCGTAGCCTGCAGGTTTTGCAGAACAGAACCTTGCGTACAATCACTAACGCCCCATGGTATGTTTCCAACGAGACCCTTTACAGAGACCTTGACATCCCTTACCTAGGGGACTACATCAAACAACAAGCGCAGCTACGTTACAGTCAAGCAGAATCGCATAACAACACTTTGTTGCTCGAGTCAGTAGACTACACAGTCGAGCAAGTTCGCAAGCCGCGACTCGCACTGTGAACAAAATTAAATCGTGCGACTTTAGGTCCAACCAAAATTATAATTTTTCTTCAACAACCAATCCCAAAATTAATTTTAGGATCAATTTAAAATTGCCGAATACTAACTAGCAATGCCAAGGCACCCCTCAAATTGATGCACTTCTTTTTTCTTTGCTCTCCCTCCTTCCTTGCATCCTTTCTTCTTCCCTTCTTTCTCCCTGACTTTGTTTGGTATCTGGGCAACCAGACCTGACAGACCTACTGACTTACAAGACTTCAACCAAGAGCAAAGGTCCTACGGACCACTCTGACAGACAATGACGAATAGAGAGAACTACTAATTTTCATCAGACGCAATATGACAGCCGGACGCTAGATTCAGGAAGTAGTGGAACCTCATCTTATTCCATACCTAAACACCATCCAAAACCCGATTTTTCAGCAAGACAATGCAGACATGTCTAGGACATGATAGGTCGCAGACTCTTGAATTAGCAGCACCCACCACAGACTTTAGCAGCTCCTACTCACGAAGACGCAATAGCCTGGAATGAGATATCCCAGCAGGATATCGACCACCTAGTCAGCACGATGCTCATGCCATGAGAGTATATGAAATCAAGGATCCTCAACACATTATTGAACCAGCTTCTACAGTCAGTTGAAGAATCAAGCTGAAACTTTAATCATTTTCATTTTACTAGTATGGGACACTGAACATCTAGGCCAACAATTATTAAAATCGGATAAACATACGTAGGTGTTTACCTTTTTTTGTCACTCAGTATACTTTGCCAGGGCCCAAAAAGTGAAAGCTAATTTACAGGTTTTGAGAATAACTTCTGTTTTCATAAAGTTATATATTATATAATAATAATAATAAGAATAATATTTATATTATTCTCAAGACCTGTGTACCACCCCATAGCTATTCAACTATTAAGAGGCCAACGCGTAATATTACACGATTTAGTTTATTAACAAACGAGAAATGTATGCTTGCAATTTAAATTTTTTCTAACATCAAATTGGTAATTTGACAAATAAGCGTCGTCATTCGTATCTATATAGCCTGCCCTTGAAGTACGCCACTGCAATGACTGCAGCGCAAAAACAAAATAGATTTCTAATTGATGTTCCAAAAAAAGTATAACATTTCATGAAAAATAACAACGAAGTAAGATTGAGGTCAGTTAATCAACTATTTCAGGGCAAGGACGATATAAAAACTGAAATATAAATATGTATTTACTCAAACTCAGTGAAAATGTTAATTATGCAATTTAATTTAGAAGACAACTGTCTGACTTTGATGCTTATTACTGTAAAATAGAAAAAGGAAAGATGGTAAACTAGGGATCTGGGCCATATTGTCTTAATGGCATTTATTTGACAATAAATTGACGTTCTCATTGACGTTCTCTAATCATATAAGCGAGATTGTCTCTTCAACAGATACATTATTATTAGGATATTGAGTGAGAACCTGGTTTAGTTTTGCAGATATGAACAGCCTTAAAACAATATACAGGGAAAACCAAATTTGTCTAATGTCTAGGGTTCAATGTGTACTAGAGAGAAGCGCGAGAAGTGTGTATCAACACATGTTAGAAAGAGATAGAAGCCGGCATATTGTCTTAATGGCATTTATTTGACAATAAATTGACGTTCTCATTGACGTTCTCTAATCATATAAGCGAGATTGTCTCTTCAACAGATACATTATTATTAGGATATTGAGTGAGAACCTGGTTTAGTTTTGCAGATATGAACAGCCTTAAAACAATATACAGGGAAAACCAAATTTGTCTAATGTCTAGGGTTCAATGTGTACTAGAGAGAAGCGCGAGAAGTGTGTATCAACACATGTTAGAAAGAGATAGAAGCCGGCTGAAGAGCGAAGGTCATCACCACATTGCCTAGCAACGGTAACGCAGAATGGTCGTGCAATAGGTTAGGTTATTATCAAACCCAAGAAGGGGGGTCAGTTCGAACATTCAATTTAATGTTTTGTTTTCATTTTGATTAGCGTTATTATCAATTTTAATGCGACTTTTTTAGAATTATCTTTGATTTCCACCAATGGTGATAAAATAAAAACATCCTGAGTTACACATATTGCGTCAGCGCTGCGGTCTGAAAATGTAACAAATAACGTTACGCAATACAAATTATTACCGCCTGCGTTGACGCAGACGAAAGCCATTTCGAAGCAGGCCGACCTCCCTACGACGCTAGATGGGTACCGCTCAACTATGACCATGAAGGTGGAAACATTGCCTTGGAATGTACAAGATGTGGTCTACATTCCAATGAACCAATGTTGCAGAATTTTTGACGATCCTGACCTTTTATTTCGACCTAAAATGTAGCGCCGTTAGGGCCGATCGGGAATCAATCCTAAACAGATTTGACACAATTCAAAAGTGTGTACGCTCAAAATAAAACCATCATTTGGTCGTAGAGAATAAACCAACACATCTTTTCAATATGCATCTTAATTCAAGGAACTGATGCTACATATTCGGAACGCGGCTGAATGCCGCGTCAGCGTTGCTTGGCAACGCGGTGATGATCTTCGCTATCCAGGCGGCTTCTATTTCTTTCTAACATGTCTACACACACTTCTCTCTCGTACACATTGAACTCAAGCCATCAGACAAATTGTGTTCTCAGTGACACATGTAGCTTTAATCAGGAGTAAACTGGAATATGCTGTACTGGTTTGGTTTCCAATTTATCAAAATGCAATTTCAGCTAGTGAACCTATGGCACATACCATAAAAGAGTCTTCCCCCACAATATGCTGCTCCAAATCATGAATTTTGAGACTTGATTGTTTAGAATTATTATCCAGAATCAATTTTGTGGTTACAAAACAATCTAGTCTTGTGCAACTTTTTAAAATGCTAGAAGTAGATTTAATATATCAGATATGTCTCTTGTTAAATGTAATGTGTTTGATACTTATTGTCAAGTGTGTGACATCAACATTGATACCATCCAAGTGATTTTAGGTAGTTTTAAACAAACCTATGCAGTGCTGTGTATTTTTGTAAATATAATTTTTAGATAAGATATTTGTTTATTGTCTATTTTACTTTCATCCATGTTCATGTTTATATTTTTATTTCTTGTAATTCTGTTTTTCAATAATGTTTTAACTTCAATTTGTAAAATGAACTTAAAGACACAAAATAATCAACCATTTTGATGTTACTATTAACCTTCCATGTGATTGGGTGTTAACCTGTTGGAATAAAGATTATTATTAATACACCTATTATTATTTCTCATTGAGGCACACATCTCTCTAGGTGATGCAATATTACAATGTTGATTTTGATGGGATTGCCAACATTAATAATTCAGCTGAAAAACTATCCAATGTACCTGGAGAAACTCAAGTTCATCAGGTTGCTCCTCTCCAGGCTTGACCTCAGAAAGCATCTCCCCAAGAACAGCCATGTTGCTCTTCACCACATCCAATTCTGATTGCAGCTTTGCTCTCTGTTCAGGAGTGAGATCTCCAATTTCATCTTCCTGATCACCCATGCCACCAACCACAGACTGTTGTTGGGGAAACTGTTGATTTGGAGCTGGCAAGGGAGGTTCACTTACTGGTTTTGGGGCTACACTCTAAGTATATAGAAAGAAATGATAATTATCATATCCAAAATTAAGCAAACCAAAAGCCAAAAATATTGTGCTAAAAATACAATGATATGGTCACTGTTCACATCAATAATGTAAAATTTTCACTAAGCATTTGTGTAAACTCACCCTTTTGGGGGTATGTATAGGTGCTAATGAGTCAAGGTCTGTTGCTGGAAATTCAATGCCTTTGGCCAACAAATCTTGATACACAGAAAGAACACCACTCATTTCTGGTTGATTTTGGAATGCACTGGCCCAAGACTGAATTAGACTCAATACTTTCTCTTGGACAGCTGTTGGGGGGTCATTCTTTGGTCCTATCAATTTCACCTACAACCAATAATTAATCAGATACAGGTTATCGCATATCATCATTATTAGGTATATGTTTTAAGCAAATATATTTTTAAATTTGATCCTAGGCAATGAAATGTTCCTCTTTGACAGCTTGTTTTTTAATACAATTTTTTCTGTAAAACCATATGGCAAATATCCAGACCCAGATATATGAAGTGCCTCACAAAATTAAACAGTTTAAAGTATCTTTTAATGAATAATTATAAGCTCCTTTTATAATGTTAATATACATAGTCGTGCCATAAGTTCTGTCCCATGATAATCTCATGATAAAAATGAAACAAGATAAGATATATTTATATGAAAGATATTATTTATTCGACAACATTTTTAGAATTCATAATCAAACAGTTTTATTCAAAATGTCCCCCCTTGGCCTTCACACACTGCTTCAATCTCGCGGGCCACTCATCTATCACTGCACGCACAGCTTCCAAAGGAATAGCTGCCGCTGATCGGATCAAATCCGCTTTCAGGGACTCGATATTACGGTGGGCTTTGGAGCAGGCCAACTGCTCTAGCAGGTCCCACAACTTGTAGTCTAAAGGATTGAGGTCCGGACTCCCTGAGGGCCAATCTTCCGCAGCAATGAACTCTGGCACATTGCTTTCCAGCCAGCGCTGCGTATTCTTAGCCTTGTGAGCGGGGGCGGAATCCTGCTGGTAGACCCAGTGTTGGTTGGCAAACAATGTACCACTTAAAGGCTTGACGATAGGATCCAGTATGTCGCTCTGATAGTTTGCCGCTTTTGTTTTCACGCCCTGTTTACAGAAATGGAGCTGAGTGACCCCTTCGTAGGACACCCCCCACCAAACCATGACTGACGCAGGGTGGTGGCCTCTCTCAACTCTCGGAATGATCTCCGAAGCTTCCTGTGAACTCCTTGCATACACTTTGTCATTTTGTCGGTTGAATTTTTCTTCTATGGTGAAGATTTTCTCATCCGTGAACAAAATCTTTCGGAATCCACCAGCTGCGTACCTCTCCAAGAGCTTCTTGGATCTTGTCGCCCTGATGTGTCGCAAGGTGGCCGTAAGTCGCTGGCCCGTACGTCTCCGGTAAGCCCCTAGCCCTAGGTCTTGTTTAATGATGCGCGACATCGTCCGGACAGGAATCTTCATTTCCCTGGATAGGATCTTCTGCTTCCGGAGTGGATTCCTTTGAATCCTGGCTTTTACGGCTTTGATGGCTGCTGGAGTCCTTACTTGACGAGGTCTTCCGCTTCTTGGCCTGTCATCAACAGAGGACGTCTCATTGTACTGCTGAATGGTCCTAGACACAAATTTACGCGATATTTGAAGGCCGCGTAAGAGTTCAAAAATCTGACTAGCACTGTGATTACACTTATGTAAAGCTATCACTGCAATACGGTTCTCTGCCTTGCCCCACTCCATCGTTATGCTTCGAGAGATCAATACAAACTGAGGTATATGTAATTACCCGAAAAGCGCTTAATCAACTGACACCACAATGTAAACAATCGGACTAGTATTAACAGGTCTACACTTGTTTGAAAACGAGGGACAGAACTTATGGCATGACTATGTACAACATGGCTTAAGAGATATTCAATATCATTCTGATCTCTCTGTAGGTAATATGTTTGCAATCTAAACATTAATTAGATCAACAAGTAAATATTTGCATTTTTCAATTATATACTTAATTTGTTTTACAGTATACAAAAAAATATACATAATTCTTACCAACTCCTGAACAAAGTCCTTGTTACAAACAAGCACATGAAACCTTTTGCCACAATTCTTAACACAGGTCTCCAATATTATCAGAGTATACATTATCACTGTATAATTTTTGCCTGCATTTTGAGACAAACGTTTTCTTATGGCTTTAATTGCATCCCTAGCCCCATCTTCAGTCTCATTGATTAGATCACAAATCTCCATGTTTAAGGCCCAATTTTCTGATGCTAGGGTTCCATCTGTGGCTTGTTCTAGAATTGCATCATAAGATTATATAAATATTGTAACAAAAATTGAGTTTTTAGTTAGCAGTGGGACAGCAATACACAGTGAGGCTCATTGCCAGAAATTTTGAAGGACTATATATACCTAACATAACCACTTAAGGGTAAAAAAGCCAAGGCTCTTTATCCTATATATGTATGGGGCCCAGAAGGGATATAAAATAGGAGTTCAAGGAGTAAAAATGTATGATTTGACTGAAAGTTTGTCAAGAATCATACGTACTATAAATTTTATGGCTTGCAGAATAATCTAGCATTATCAATAGTTATATCATTTTCTAGAGGAAAGGCATCCTTCAAAATACTTTACAATATTTTGCACACCATTACTCAGCAATTAGTCATACCTCATTATTCTGGCGTTCATCTAAACAAATATCATGAACTATTAACTCTAGTAATGTATAAATAAGCAATTTATTACTATAACTCTGTTAAGGTGAGAAAAATGTGTGTAATGCTTGGAAACGTTACCTATTTTGCTTCCCACGGGCGTTTGAAAAGGGTTGCCGATTAGGGCGTTCGACAAAAACGACATTTTTTCACCTTATTATTCTACACTTTCTCTATGTTTTTAATTCACACCATAAATAAATTTTCTATTGTAAATAATATTGACACTGACGTATTACGTATTTATGCACTTAAAAATGACGTATTTTGACAACTGGACTGTCAACAGGAGAACTTGCTGGTGAGCCAGCGTTGCCAAGCAATGGAATTTTTCAAGCTATCTCAGATATTCATTAACGCACCTCTAAGCTGCTTTCCGGTGGTTTTTGGTTTGAGAGTGATAGGCTCCCGAACTGCTCCAGTAACAATGCATAAGAATACAACGTGCAGTGAAATAGTATTGGTGCTGAGCACTACTGAGTTACTCACAGTAATTCAACAGGGTCACTGGAAAGTGTAGTCGTTTACTGACGGATATTGGCATTTCACTTGACGTGGTAAACGGAAAACAGGACCAAGGCATAGCAATACCATCCAACGAAGTCGAATAAAAAATTGCGTAGTTTTATAGTATACTTTTGACTATCCACCCAAAAATAATACTTATTTGAAGAAACATCTATCTTCGTTTGTGCTGGTCTGCAAATTATGCAAGAAGTAGGATGTCCGGAAATCATCCAACACCATCCACACTTTTGAAAAAGAACACTTGAACTGTCAAAAATTAACCTTTTGCCATGTCCACTTGTAGCATGTACTTTGATCCCACAGACTGAGATTTTGGAGACAATCAATAGGCTTGATCCTTCTACTAGGTGATTTGAAATCGTAGACGATTTTTCTGTCACAGGGACAGGTGACATCGTTTTTTAAGCACAAGTCATCAGACCATTTGTGATTATATCATTCCTGTAAAAATTCATTTTTTGGTTTTAATGTTTTATTATTATGATAATCTTTGGTTGTACTCAGCAGATTTTTGGAAAAAATATAGTGCCACAGTCGGCAACGCCGTGTAAAAATCTTGTCTTTGGCGTTGCCACATCACAAGATCGGTCGTTAATTTGGAAACACTTTCACCGGTGTTAGAACCAATTTAAAACAAAACTACTGACCGCCTTTTTCAGTTATAGCAAAATAAATGCTTATAATTATTGAAACAACTTATCTATTTGTATAGTTTTTGAGAATTAGAACTATTTGTTCAACTACGTTGGCTGTCAACCCATCAAGGGTCAATAACACCGAAAGCACCTGGCAACGTCGACGTTATTGATAATTGGCCGGAGAAGACACGCGCTGAACCAATCGCATCGCCACACGAACGCACATCCACAAGCTTAATGTCATCGGCATTTCCTACACCGACTTGTCACACACGCCTGCCACGTTGGTTTGAATTTTCTTCCCGTTATTCTTTTCTACATCAGCACTAACAGGGATCGGTTCGGGTTTCACTTCCTCCTCGCACATCACTTGTTATAATGTTTAAATTATTAGGATTTTGTTTATTATTATCGGCGTTTAATGTCGCCCGAGCAGATGAAATTCCAACTGAAGACGGAGTTTTGGTGCTGACGAAAGAAAACTTCCAACAAGCTACCGCTGATAACGAATTCATCTTGGTCGAATTCTGTAAGTTTCTTTGTTTTCCAACTTTTCCTATTTCTATCCATAGTATGTACAGTGTGAGATTTGAATCATTTTTTATTGCTAGTATACCATTCACCATTAACCCACACGTTTCCTGTATGGGATTTTCTATTAATGCATCTAACACAACTAGCTTCCTATCTTTAATTTTATGTTTATTAATTCACATATAATGTTGTATTATTAATCTTTATGTATTTCCATGTCGAGCTCAATATGTCAAGGCTAGATTTGGTTTGGTTTTGTGATTTTTTCAGTATGTAGTCCAATATGCAGATTTAATAGTTCAAGTTTTATTATTCTTTTAGTGAACATATCGTATTTATCCAAAAAGGCATGTTTTATTTATGTCTTTATTCATATAAAGCAACAGACTGAAGTAGACCCCATTTGTTGCTGATTTGGTCCAAAATTGTACAGAATGGAAAAACATGTAAACAAGTCATTGATCTTGAAAACCATTAAGCCACTCATCAGTAATGTGTAAATAAATGTTAAAAATAGCTTTCACTATTTAACTTCCTGTCAGACTCCACAAAAGCCATGGATTTGAAGTTTTTTTTGGATTAACCTCTTATATGCTGAGGGAGACTAATGGCAAGCTATCATTTTGATGGTCTAATCATAGATAAACAAGGCTGAGCTTAACATGTAATTTGTTTCAAGTATACTTTAATAGTTTTTGTATAAATTCTAGGCTGTTCATTCAAAGCTATGCTAAAATTACTATTTGAATCTGATCAGACCATATCTTATTTACTATATGTCCCATATGAGTGTATATTGGTAAATCCTATTTTTTACATTTCTTATTAATGTTTAGTCACACTTATGTTATGAAATTAGCATATAGAAAAGTATAAAATCTGGCACCTTCACATATGGTAACAATAGAAAAACTAAGTTTACACAAAGCAAGTGTTGTCTGTATCCTTAAAGCTGAATGTCAATTGTCTATTATCAGTGTTTTACAGTATGTTAGATTTTTTATTGTTTTAGTTGCAAAATTTAATTTGATTTCTTAGCTAATACTTTCTATATACATATTTACTAATCCAGCTTTTCATGATTATTTTTACAAAATTATCTTCAATCTGTACTTATTTATTTCATTTATCGTATCCATTTTATAAAAGTGTAATCAGAATTTCTAGTATCATACTGTGATAAGTATTTTTTTATTTGTATATATTTGATAAAATTAGCAAACATGGTAAACAGATATTTAGATTACTGTTGGAATATCCAATGTATTTTAGTCATATTATGTACATGTAAACATTTTATGAACACATATAGTGTAAATCTGGTCCCTATTTATAGGGATGCATACAATTTGTTTTTCATTTGAGTCCACTCAATATTGGATCAAAATGATACATTTTATGCAATATTGTCATTATTAGTCTTATTTACTCAACTGAAAGTTATATACATTTTTATCAATATATTTTTCTAGACAGATGTGACAATGATCTTGAATAAAAATAAATATGTATATGGGTGAATTTATGGTATTTAAGTTTTCACTATCAACTAAGAACAGTAGCTCATTTTGTTTTCACATTCATTTTGTTACAAGACTTTATGATATTTATGTGATACATATTTAACAGTCAGATAATATTTTGGTTTTGACAACTTTTATAGGTGCTAGGGGAAAATAATAATAATAAATGCTTATTTTAAAATAACAGTGTATAATTACTGTGTATTACACACTGTTAGGTGAAATATCTGTAACAGCATCAATGAGACAGAAAAACAAACAAGTGGAACAAAGAAAAAAAAATTAAAAGGCAAACTATACAGATTTTACATTTCAAAATATTCTTGAAGGTCATATTATGGTTCTAAGGCCATTATCAATAATTGAGGAATACTCTTTATAATGACCTTTTAATTTCTTGTGTTAACATATTTGGCTTACATATTTCAGTGCAGCTGTGATGGACATTTTTTTCTGTAACCCTGAGGTAATGGACTGGATACAGAAGATTTCTATTTCTTGCATTATAGTATTTTTGTGGGTTACTGATAAAATTGTCAATGTTTTTAAATGTAAAAATTAGTATCTCTTGATTGTACATTGCAGCTACTGTGAAAATTTTGTTACTCTTAAATTTTCCTCTACAAGTCTCTTTAGAGGAAATTTTTAGAATGCCCCTCAGCACTCGCTTCTGTATAGATCCTATTGGTATGCTTACTATGTCCAAAGAAAATTATGAAAAATCATGCAATGTACAGTAATACCCCGACTTACGCTACCCCGTTTTACGCGAATTCGGAGATACGCGGTTTTTCATTTTGATTGCCGCGCGCAGCGCGCATCGGCTCTCTCGCTCCGCGCGCGCATCGGCTCTCTCGCTCCGCGCGCGCATCGGCTCTCTCGCTCCGCGCGCGCATCGGCTCTCTCGCTCCGCCCACTCAGTGTTCAATTTGCATCAGGTTTAAACGTGTTTCGCGTGCAATTGTTTTACGTGCGCAGTGCGTTTTACTTATAATCTCTAATTATGTCGTCTAAAAGAACAAAAAATGAGTCATTTGAGCCTAACAAGAAAAGAAAAACACTGTCTTTGGAGTGTAAACTGAATATAATTAAAGACTTTGAAGCAAAAATGAAAATTTGTGAATTGGCGAAGAAATTTGACCTTCCGGAATCAACAGTCCGAACGGTTGTAAAAGGTAAAGAAAAAATTATGAACGCTGTGAAAGACTCTCAATCTTTGAATTCAAGTATCATCCGTAAGCGTCACGGTATTATCGCACAGATGGAAACATTGCTACAGTCATGGTGTGATAATCAAGTAAGAGTGAAAAATTGTCCTGTTGATCAAAATACAGTGTGCTTTCAAGCAAAGCAGATTTTTGAAAAACTAAAAGAAGAAGCTGGGGAGGCGGCTGAAAATGAAGTGTTTAAAGCTAGTAACGGCTGGTTCAGCCGATTTAAGAGTCGTTGTAATTGGCATAGCATCGCAGAGAGTGGAGAAGCGGCAAGCGCTGATAAAGAAGCTGCATCTCTCTATCCAGAAAAACTCAAAACAATGATAGATGAAGGTGGCTACACTAGCCAAACTATTTTCAACGTAGATGAAACAGGTCTTTTTTGGAAGAAAATGCCTAAAAGAACTTTTATTGCGCGTGAAGAGAAAACTTTTCCAGGTTTTAAAGCCGCCAAGGATCGATTAACAGTGATGGTTGGTGCGAATGCAGCTGGAGATTGTAAATTAAAACCTCTCTTAGTTTATCGCTCAGAAAATCCAAGGGCCTTAAAAAATAAATCCAAAGCTGGTTTGCCTGTCATTTGGAAGTCTAATGCGAAAGCTTGGGTGACAGCTTCTCTTTTTGAAGACTGGTTTGGCCATCATTTTATTCCTGAAGTCGAACGTTACTGCCGATTAAAAGAAATCCCATTTAAAGTGATGCTACTAATTGACAATGCACCAGGTCATCCTCCCGCAACTCTAATTAATTTCGATCCACGTGTGGAAGTTGTATTTTTGCCACCAAACACTACCAGCTTGCTTCAACCAATGGACCAGGGAGTCATTAAAACATTTAAAGCTTACTACACAAGGCGGTCATTTGCACATCTACATGAAGCTATGAGACAAAACAATGAGCTTTCTGTTAAAGACTTTTGGAAGCAATTCAATGTTTTAGATGCTGTAAGAATTATTGGACAATCTTGGAATGAGGTTTCACAAAAAACTCTCAATGGTGTCTGGAAAAAACTGTGTCCATTTTTTTTCACCTCTGAAACTCAAGGAGAAACCATTTCAGATCCTGAACAAATCGATAGCATAATAGAAGAAGTGGTCGATATCGCCAAGCAATTAAATTTAGAGGTCGATAATGATGACGTTCAAGAATTGCTAGATTCACACAATCAAGAGCTAACAATTGACGAGGTTATAGAAATGCGTAAGTATGAGCAAGACATTGAACAAACTGATTCGCTAGACCCAGTTGAATCGGTAAATCAAATGACAATTGCAAACTTAACAGAAGGACTCAATTCAATTGAAAAGGGGTTACAAATTTTAGAAAAAATTGATTCTAATGAAGAACGCGTGTCTACTACAAAACGAGGGATAAAAAAATTACTGGTATGCTACGAGGAAATTTTACGTGAAAAGAAGAAAAATTTAACTCGTCAGGCAACATTGTTAGAATATATAAAGCCTTCGACATCAAAATAACTTCGGTTTAGCTTACTTTATTCATAACAATGTAATTTTTTTTATTATCCTACACTTTATTAAACATTTTTCTTCTAAATTATTGTTTTCTTTAAACTCTGGTCCCGATTAAACAAACTTTATATGTATTTATATGCAACATTGAACCCCGACTTACGCGAATTCGACTTACACGGCAACCGTTCGGACCCACCTATCGCGTAAGTCCGGGGTATTACTGTACTCAAAATTCATGTAATATACCATTTTTACTGTCTTAAGGACTAGGTACTTCAGAGTACTCTAATGCTGTAGCATATGTTGTTTAACCTTTTATCTAAATGTTCTATATGGTTAGCCCAGGAAGGTGCTTGGTCTATATAGAATCCCAAGAATTTCCCAGAGTGTGTCAGTGAGCCTTCTATTCTTTTGACTAAAGTGATATTTATACCTTAGACTTTTTTCTTAGCTTAAAAACAGTTCCATTTGTTTTTGAGGTATTCAGAGATAATCCATTATGAGCAAACCACAAAAACACTTTCTCCCAAAGACTCAAGGTACTACTAAATGGTTGAAATCTTGGCCAGGCTAGTGTAATAATGTAATATATAATAATAATAATGTCTTTATTCAGAAAATGATTATAGGATGGCAAAATTTAGCCACCTACAACCAGACATCACAAAACATTAGGATAACAACATGAATTAGATGACTGTAAGAAGTACATTAAAAAGGAGCAAACATAGAAAATGAACATATAGAAAGAATAGAAACAATAGAATTGACCTATTACAAACAAGCTTTAATTGCTGAAACTGATTTTAGCACCCAATGTGCTTAGGCCAGAAAGTGCAACTTAACTGTCTTCTTGAAGCTCTGCAAACTTAAGGTCTTACATTGACCTCATTATAAGTGAAGTACGTTTCAAAAAATGATGCATAATGTTTAGGAATGGAAATGCATTGTGCCACAGATTTAGAATAACTTGGTTTCCACAAAGTATCAACTTATTGAGTAAATAAACTGGTTTACCAGTTTAAAACATTCTATGTAACAATGAAACCATGAAATAATTGAATAAACCAACATGAGCCACTGTAATTCCTTGATTTTTGATGAAACATTTCTAAAATTCATAAAACCAAATAGCAACAGTTGTTCTGAAGCTTCTGCAAATTTGACTTGCAAACTGAGTCAAGGTATGGGTAAATGAGGGCTAGAGAGTAAGCTAAAATTGTCATTATGAGGTTTTCACACAACTTTTTACGGCACTTAAAGCTTAGAATATTGTTATTATCAGCACTACAACAGTAGGCGGAAAAGTCTGATGGCACTGTTGTGCAAAGTCTTTTTATGCTGGATAATGCACGAAACGTGCAGCTCTGTCTTTTAGTTCTTTACCCAGGTTATTCTTGAGTAACTTGACAGCTGTTTCACTCACTGTTTGATCTTCAAATAAGTCGACTTCATGATACTATTCACCTGTAAGTAAAATCTAACATTTGAATCAAATATAACACCTAGATTCGTGGCATAATAAAAAAATGGAATATTAGTATTATTGATAATAAGCAGACTCGGTTTGAGATATTGTAATTTGAATATTTAAGACAGTATGGTATCATGGTACATTTTGATGGATTGATGGGTAGACAGTGCCTATATTACAACACGTTAATACATAATCAAGATCTAGGTTAATTTTATACAGTGCTTCATGTAAGTTGAAAATGTGATGCCAATACCATTACCTAAATAAATTCAATAGTTCTTTGTTATAAATAAAAAGACTTTAGTTCTGTCAGCCTTGAAACAGATAATCATATATATTGAGAGTTCACAGTCGAGGTAATGGTTATCTTTGAATGCTAGAATTGTTTTTGGATATCCCGTCGCAGATTTTGCTGACATTATGTATAATATTTTTTATTGTAAAGAAATGACAAAAAGTAGAAAGTAGAAAAAGAACAGTAGGAAAAAAATTGGCATGAAACCTTCCAGGGACATGGCGCCTGAGTAATAAGATGATCCTGAATAAAATTAAGATACATTATTATATTATTGTATGTATTGTATTCAAGAATCATTATTGTTCATGGTTGCAGTAATGTCCTTGAAATTCACAAAGATATACTTAGGTTAAATACTGGAAACATTGGCAGCACTATGTCAGCAACTGATACATTGCTGATTTCAGTAGGCCAAATTACACTAGCTTCAAACTATCATTTCTTGATTTGCTAAAACTCATCCTGTGGTTTACATGTCAATAATTCCCAAGTTTGACTGGACAATAAACCACATGCATTGCTAGAATCTTCTTTACTGAAAACGTTTTAATCACAAAGGTTATGATCTTCAGTACAATGACAATATATTTATCTGTCTTCATATACTGAAGAAGATCGCCTTTGTGATTGAAACGTTTTTAGTAAAGAATATGTCAGTACATGTGGCTTTATTGGGAAGAAAAGCATTGGGGATTAGACTTTTAGTGTCTCTTTTCATGAAAGTATGTTTTGTGTATACAATACAAAGAGTAATCGCATATTGTTATATCAAATACATACATAGAGGTTATAGTTGATATTTGTAGTGAAAGACAGGAATGGAGCATGCCAGGGGACTATACATTTTGTTAATTTTCAAGTATATTGTGCTGAAATCTTGATTTTATCATAAATGTTCCTAATAAAACATGGCATTTTACAATATTTGGCTGATAGATTTACACAGTTTGTCGATTTGCTTAAGATTTGAGCATTGAAATCCCAAATACTATATATTCACCCATACATGAATAAATTCCGTGGTAGAACTTGGTTGAAAATAAACATCTTAAAAACCATTTCCTTCCAAGTTTTAAATTCAGGTAACAGAATCCTTACCATAATAAAAAGTGTTTATTGATGTTTTTAAATTGGTACCATAGGTCAAATTTGTAAAAGAAACATGGTGCTGAGTATCGTGCAAGAATGACACTAAGAATAATGCCAAATAAATATATTTAACTATTCTATTTGCTGTTTAAAAGATGCCCCATGGTGTGGACATTGCAAGGCACTAGCTCCAGAATATGCTAAGGCTGCAAAGCAATTGGAAGAACAAGGTTCTGCCATCAAACTTGGCAAAGTAGATGCCACTCAACAACAGGATTTGGCCGAAGAATACCAAATTAGAGGCTATCCAACACTTAAATTCTTCAGGAATAGCAATCCTATTGAATATTCAGGTACTGTCAAACAAGAACTAAAATAAAATGTAAGGTTTTATTCCTTACAGGAAATATCCTCATATAAAGAAAAAACGGATTTTGAGGAGGGATATGTAATATATGTACTGATTCTCTGCGTGTATTGGCGAGTAGGTAATGAAAAACTGAAATCATAATGTAATGTTTTTGGATAAACTATGCCGCTCATTTCTATTTGACTGTTTGTAATAGTTCGACCCTCTATAACATTGTAAAGTGCAGTTTGGATTTTCATTGAATTTCAACACAATATTACTAAAAAGTTTTGTAGATTTTTAGAATTGGTTCAGTGGCAGCATACGCGAGAAATGGAAGATATGGATATATAAATCTAAACTTTAGTTTTCACTATTTTCCTGTTTTTTTATAACTTTTTGGCTTTGCACTTTTTTGGAGGAATTAAAAACATCTCATACTCAGTTTTTCAGTGCACACTTTCCCAATTTCTGCTCACTTTAGGACATAGTCAAAAACTGTTTCAACAGTGTCCAAAGAATTTGAAATCAAGTTTTCCATCAAAAATTTTAAACAGATTTAACTTGAAGCCATTTTTACACTATTACTTGATATAAACTACAAAAATATGGTTCTCAATCTGTTTTAAACAAATCTCAGACGACTCGATGAGTACGAGATTGTAGATTTTTTATCATGCGTTTTTGCTGTTTTCTATCTGTAAAGTGACAAAGCCGTCATTTGCAATCGGTCCTTGGAAAACGTTAACATTGCATACCCGCTTCAAAAATTGCGTCATGTAGATTGTATCGGAATTAGGTAGGTTCACTTAGGTACGATGAATCGTTGGATCTTTGCATATCAAACAATATGAAGCAAGTCTATCATATTTCTGTTTCCATGGCCGATGTAGGGAAAATATGTGACTCATTATGTCTAAAAGGTGCATAGTATCACTATCAGCAGCTTCTTACTAATTGAATGTCTTTCAGTGCAACAACTATATACTGCATTCAGCTTCCAACCTACAATTTTCATCCACTCCACAGAATATCAGAGATTGTGCAGGAAATTCTGAAACGTCTATGTTCCAGCAATTTTATTTCATTCGCCTCTGTAATCAATTTTCAAAATCTATGTCTGCCTAAACGATGGTAGTATTAACCTCGCGATAAATGTCATATATCAATGCGTCAATCTACTTGTCGAAATATACAGAGAACCATCATAGATGGAGTAACACAAATTAAAGGTTAGGTAAAATGGGTGGTACATTTATGGATCATGAAATTTAGAAAAAAGAGTATGTGTAGTTATAAAAACAGTCAAGTCATCATTTACAAAAGCATCGCAGGACGCTAATGTGTTACGTACCCTAATATCCAAATACTCATAAAATATATAAATATTTCTCCTGTAGCAGTGCGTCAATGATGTAATGCCAAGTTATTTCGAACTTTTTATCATTTAATTTTCCCGTTGTTACTGGAATCAGAAGCTTCTTAATTATGTAACATCTTTGACTAATACTAAAGACCTTACATTTACAACTCTCAAACCCAAGTTTCAACCCCTCCAAAAAAAATCCGAAAATGATCAGGAGCCTCTGAAACGCCAATACACGAAGTTTGAGCGATTTATTTTTTCGTGTTCTTGCCCCAAGCTCCGCCACCACTAGACCGATTTTTAAAAACGATAAAGCTTTTTCATCCTTGGCATATTACTAACCTTGTGTGAAAATTTCATCAAAATCCGAGCGGTACCTCTCAAGTTATAGGCGTATATAAAATTAGCGGGCAGACAGAGACAACGTTTTTCGTGATGTACATGTCATATAACATCCAAAAAACAATATCTCAAGATTCTTAAGTTCGAAGTTTTTTCGCGAATAATACTTCCTCGCCAGTTTTGGCATAGGAAGTAAAAGTGCTTTATTGGTCAGTTGTAGAAACATTTTTTATTGCCACTCTCTATAAACAGGAGGTCGCCAAGCCGATGATATTGTTTCCTGGCTGTTGAAGAAGACTGGCCCAGCAGCAAAAACGCTAAACACAGTTGATGAGGCCAAGGAACTCATTGACTCTTCCAATGTGGTGGTCATTGGCTTCTTCAAGGACCAGGATACTGCTTTGGCCAAAGGGTTCTTGGATATTGCTGCTGTCATTGATGATATTCCATTCGGAATCACTGGTGATGATGCTATCCTCAGCGAATATGGTGCCAGTGATCAGCAGGTCATACTCTTCAAGAAGGTCAGTCCAGATTACTAACAATTATATTGATTGGTTCCTTATTGTATAAAAAAGTCGTCCTAATTACTTCGCGCGCAAAACAATTCGCACGGGAACGTCAGCGTTGCTATGAAATGTTAAACTACAATCTTTGTTTCTGTAACTTGATGATATGGGATATTTTGACCACAGTGATCAGCTGTTAATGATAATCCAATCTATATTATATCTAGATTTCCAAAACACCCAGATGACTTGAATTATCAAAATAATCTTTATATGTTAGAGGTATTTGTAGTGAATTGCATTTATATATGAATATATTGTTTAAAAAAGGCAACTCTGAAAAAATATCGGTACATTATGACATGCATTCTGCAAACAACATGATAATAATGCTATTACACGTATCACTTTCATTTCATGCAAAAGTAATTATGCAGTAGATAGTAAAAAACGTATGTATTGTACGTAAATGACGATACCATTTGACCTTGCATTTGCTATCCCTTTTACCATTTATTTTTGGTAACATAGCTTTGTAATAACAGTCACAGAACTAAGATATACTGTAAATATCTCTAGTTTTATAGAAGCTTCAGGATGCTGGTTTAATAGTGTTGTTAAACCTTGACCTGAATGAACACAAAACGATTAGAAACAAGATTGGTTTTTCGATCAAGAATAATTTTACACGAAATACAATAGATTTTAGCGTAACTGCCTTTTTCATAAAACAAAAACGTTTAAGTGAATATACAGATTGAATAGTACTACATATTATGTTTTATGTAGTTTTGAAATTAGTATGGAATACATTTTTTTCATACCTTTTCAATCTGTATGCATAAACTGCCTAGCTTTTTAAAGAGAAAATAGTGATGCTTCATTTGTGGTTATACAAGATTATCGTGATTGTTCTTCTCAAATTGTCAGGCGTTTTGAAATAATGCGAAACAATAACAATAATAAACGGGTCTTATTTTTTAGTTATAATCGAAAAACCTGTAAAGGTACATGCAAATTGAGAGGAAGGAATCGGAGATATGAGAAGCGCGAGTGTTCCGGTCGTTAATATAACATCTGAAACATGTTTTGGCGTTTTACTAGCTAACCAATCTGGCCAAGCGAAATGACAGATGTATACTTTTATTTCTACATCTGTGATTTGCTTCAAGCAGAACCCGATTCAAAAATCTCCAAATGAAATCATGTTGGATTAAAAGTTTACTAACATTTTGGACACTTTGGTGTCAAAAAATATACCATCATTGTAATTTTTGATGTATTTCAAAAAGGTCACTGAGGTAGCTGAAGCGTTGTTAAACATCCGTGGCTTTATTTGGAGTTTAGCAAAACATGGAGATTCCATTTAGTGTCATGTGTTTGTGTATATCCATTCTTACTTTTTTCTATTATTGCTTTTAAATTGTATGTTCCATTTTTACCTTTCTATAGGTGTTATGAATTCGTTTTTCCATCCTTTACCATCCCTGTTAGAAATTGTCTTTTGTTGAATACATATTATTTATCAGCGAGACAGCCACAGAGTAAATTTCTTATGTTACATTATAGAGATTGATTTTTTCCACACGATTGCGTGCTCTGGTCGTGGGAAGTATGGAGTCAATCTACTTGACATTTTTTTTCCTTCTAGTTCGACGAAGGCAAAGCGGTGTACGACGGTGACCAGACTCCAGCTGACCTGAAGAAGTTCATCCAAAGCAACGCCCTGCCTTTGTTGGTCGACTTCAACCATGACACCGCGCAGAAAATCTTCGGCGGTGAGATCAAGAACCACCTTTTGCTGTTCCTCAACAATAACGACGAGCACTACAAGAAGGTTACCGAGGCTGCACGATCAATTGCCAAAGAATTCAGGTATGCTCAACAAGATATTCTCAGTGCAATTCTGAGAACACGAAATCTTAAGGATAACTACAGAAGAGGATGAAGGATAATCTTCCCTTCCCTGGTTTACGTTGTCGATTTATTGAAGATGAATGAATTATTATAACAACCTCGATATAATGATGAAAATATTGTTATTGGTCTATTCCTATTTTTTTTTCAGGGAACAAGTTCTGTTCGTTACAATCGACGCTGAAGTTGAAGACCATCAACGTATCATGGAGTTCTTTGGACTGAAGAAGAAAGAAGAAGTACCAACTGTTCGTCTTATCCGTCTTGAAGAAGAAATGGACAAGTACAAGCCTGAGACCGACGATCTGTCAGCAGAAAGCTTGAAGCAGTTCGTACAGGACTTCCTTGACGGAAAACTAAAACAAGTAAGATGCTAATTTCAGCTTGACCACAAAATTTGATTTATCTGCTTCCCGAGAGACTACCACGGCAACCGAATTGTCAAGAACATTCATTTTTCCGCGACTTAGCTTTTTGATTAGTTAGGATGAATCGTGTGTCACAGGGATAGCCATAAAGCAACTTTTGTTTTTTAAGATTTATTTAACATGATTGCTACAATTATATTCTTTTAATTAACTACACCAATTACATAACATACAAATATTTAGAAAAATAAAATTTGCATCTCTAAGAATGTTCATTTTCCATTAAATGTTCCTTTAATTTTCTTTTAAACATCTTTAAGTTGCAAGTTTATATCATTATTTAGTTTACTAAATTCAAGTAGTCCCTTCTGAAATATTGATTTGCTAGTTATATTACTATTGCATTTTTGTAAATGGAAATCTATATTTCTTCTTGTATAATAAATTGTGGTAATGACTATTCAATTCTATGTGATGCTCTAAATGTTGTGCCAAAATATGATTTTTTATTTTAAATATAAAAATAACCAAATTTGAAATTGTCTCATAGATTTTATTTTGGTGTACTTATATTTTCATTCAATATTATTTTCATAGCTTTATTTTGTAGGACTTGTAATTTTGGGAATGCAGCTTCATTAGAAGTAAACAAAATAGTAAATGTGATAGAATAATTGCATTATAAACTACTTTTTTGGAATATGTACTAAGACTATGAGAAACCCGTTAAAAGTAATATGCTTTTCTGACAATTTTTGGAATAATGTTCCTCAGAATTTAGCTTAATATCCCAAATATTTAATTGATACAACTATATCAATTATTTCGTGATTTATCCTAACTGTGATAGTATTTTCATTTAAGTATTTCCCTATTGGCATACATTCCGTTTTAGATTTTATGCAATTTTGTTTTTTTTTACTTCTGTCAATTAAGTAGTTTTGTATAATTTTGAATACAGATCGTTTAAATCCAGAGTGATGCAGTTTTGTAAGTAATTTATTCCTTTCAATAGTTTCAAACGCCCTTTTGAAGTCTAAAAACACTAACTGTATGTTTCCTATAGTCCATACATTTCATTGTTTTTCGTTTTCAGCACTTGTTGAGCCAAGAATTGCCAGAAGACTGGGACTCCAAACCTGTGAAAGTCTTGGTGTCAACCAACTTTGATGAAGTAGCTTTGGACCCTACCAAAGATGTTTTAGTAGAATTCTATGCTCCATGGTGTGGACACTGCAAGCAGTTGGAGCCCATCTACGTCAAGGTTAGTTGAGTTGTTCTGTATGAGTTAAAGATTTTTAATTCCAATTTACAAAAAGTTCAGAATTTTTATTGTGGAACGACATTTTTAAACATCTTCCCTACTTGATAGCGCTTAATGAACTCAGTTTAAAACAACACTTCACACAAAAAAAATACAAATTGAATAAAAATTTTTAGTTTTTGATCCATTCTTAAAGTATCATAAAAATATATTTGTCAATACTCAATTCAGCTGAAAAAGGTGCCTGTTCAAAAACGGCTATATGTACTGTGTACTCATATTTACAAGTATACAGGATGTCGTCAAAGTCGGGACTTTCCTTTACAGACCACATAATCGTGAACTTTAAAAATTATAGGCTTTAAAAAAATCGGAAAAATGTACACCATGTGATGATCTTTTACTACAAATTTCAATTTTTCCTTAGAGTAACGGACTGTATCAATCTATGTAGTGACAGGAAGACAGATACTGACACCACTTTCATTAACTCCTGAATCTATTTATTAAATACACCATAAATGTTCAATCTCATCAGCAATGCAGGCTTGACATCTTCTTAAAAATCGAGTGGAGTTAAGTCAGGTGTACGGGCTGGCCACGAAATTGTACCAGACCGCCCTATCCATCTGCTAGGGTATTCCGCATCAAGGTATTCTCTAACTGAAAGGGCGTAGTACGCAGGGCAGCCGTCTTGCTTGTACCACATGACTCTGTAAATGCAGCTCAAAGGGTACAATGATTCTCCCATTTAGAATCCCGGTCCGCATGTTTACTTTAAAACGATACTGTGTGTGTGTCTCATCAAATGTGGATTTTCTACATGCCAATCACGTAAGTGGTGTAGATTCATGTAAGGATCTTTTTGATTCATCAGTTCATAAAATGTTCTCTAAAAATCGCGGATCTTCCGGGTGTTCCTGTAACATTCTTTGACAAAACAGAAGATAATCCCGGGGTGGTAGAGATTATACTCGCTGAACGTAGTACGGGTGGAGCTCGTTCTTTCGCAAGATTCGGTGGACTTTACTGTTGGGCACTCCTGTGCTTGCTTCTATTGAACGTACTGAAGTACTCTGGTCTTCTTCGACGGCTTGTAGTACGACGTCATCGTACGGAAAGGAAATTCTTCCCTCACAATGTGCTTGATTTGGAAATCGTACCTCTGAGAGTGAATGGCGCACATGAATAAAAACTCGGTGATCGGGATGGCGAGCAGCATTTGGGAACCTCTTACTATAAAGTCTAGCTGCAGCACTAGCCTTGCATCTACATTCCCCATAAATGAAGTTCATGTTGGCATATTTCTGTATGGTGTAGACAGACATTGTGGCATTACACAATCATGAATTAATAAAAGTGGTGTTACTATCTGTCTTGCTGTCACTGCGGAGAAGGCACTAGGGGTGTCAATCCCGGGATCCCGGAAGAAAACCTGTCTCGAAAATCCCGGGATTGGCTAATAATTTCGGTATTAGTCCCGAAATTTTAAGTGATATTTGGTATATAATTTTATAAATGTTTTATTGACATTTATGAACCGTTGGATATCAAACTTCAACAAGTAATAGTTACACATTCAATAATAATAATTTATTTCATTGTTGATTGGAACAGAAAATCCTATATCAAATGACAAGGTCATAAAAATAGTGGTGACGAGTTAAAAAAGTATAAAAACATAAATCTAAACAAAAAACTCCTCCAAGGTATAGAAAAAAAGTTTTAGTTTTCTTTTGACAACAGCTATATTTGATTCATTCCTAATATTATCATTGAGATTATTAAAAATCTTACATCCCATATACCTGCATGTTTTTTGGTATGCCGTAGTTCGATGTCTCGGCGGGATTAGTTGGATATTCATGATGGTGTTTGATGACTTCAAATTCGCGCTTATTTTTTAAATCAAACAGTGCCAACTCATAAATGTAAATACCTATAACAGTCAACATTTTAGTGCCCTAAAAGATTCTCCAGGATTGGCGCCAACCAAGGTTATCAATAATTCTAATGGCATATTTTTGCAGCAGGAGAACTCTTACAGTTAGTGAACTACTGCCCCAATTGAGAATACCCTAACAGATATGGCAGTTGACAGTGGCATAGTATAAAGTTTTTAAAATTCGTTTACTGCACTGCTTTGTTAAGAATTTCAAGCCATAACAACTCTTTCGCAATCTAGTGCACGAATACTCAACCTGAAACCCCACCGACATTCGACAATCAAGTTTTATCCCCCCAGCATGTTAACTGAATTAGATGATGGAATATCTGTTAGTATTATCAAAAATGTAGAAATCTTGTTCAAGCAGAAGAAAACCAAATGACTATCTGGCATACCTAGCCAAGAAATTGATCTTTTATTAAATGGCGGAAATCGTGGCAGCCCACTAGTGTAGAATCCAAGAGATGTTTTTCTTCTGCAGGCTATATATGTAATGAAATCCGTTCAAGTCTAAAAGACGAAACTTTAAACGCACTCATATTTTTTATAATTCAGTTTTAATTCCCACTTCTTATGAATGTATTTTAGTTCATGTTTATTACTAAAAAAGATCAAATAATGTTTATTTTTATATATTATATTTATTTAACAAAAGTGTCACTCACTTAACGCTTTATTATGACACTTGTATCTATAGTCATCGTTTGTAGTATTTATGCGCTTTGTTAAGGTCTTTACATTTTTTTTATTTGATTTCTGTTTTTTGTTGAGAAATAAAAGTTTAATTTTTAAATTATTTTTTCCGGGATTGATACCGCGCCTCGAAAGTCCCGGGATTACGAAAACCATTCGGGATTGACACCCCTAGAATGCACTGTACGTCACTCCATCTGAGAAAAAATTAAATATGTAGTAATAAAAAAGACCATCACAGTGCCCAGATTCTTCCGAAATTTTTGTAAAGTCTATAATTTGAAAAGTACACGACTTCGATTTTTTCATTTTTCTGATAATTATTATGATTTCGCCGATCCTCCGTTTCCGGCTTGTCGTCGATTTCTGGGACAACTTGTAAAATAGTCTTAACCTAAGGGCCGTATCGTGCGTCGTTCCTACAATTGCAGGACGCCTTTATGGCCTTGATTTTCAGGGTCTTTTCTCTCCTTCATAAAGGCTGGGGTATTTCTAGCTTTCTACTGTTCGGTGTCAGCGTCAGAATTGTAGGACATTTAAGGCTGATAAAACAGATGATATAAATCAAAAGCATGAACAATTTGACGCAAATAGGTGTTTGTAACATAACCTGAAAATAGAGCTCTGACACGAAACATTATCTGATTATTTATTTTGATTGTAATACCGGGTTTCTGAAGGCCTCTTTTTTTCTTAGATCAAAACAGTAGCGCGTTTGATTTACCTGCATTTAAGCGAAGGCTTATGCTTACCAACATAATTTGTCATATTCTGTAGATCAGTGTTTATCAAAGAGGTGGCATGGTTGGAAGTTAAGGTATATTTGCGTATATTCAGCGTACGACTGAACAGAGCAGTTTTTAATTATATTATGTCCAAATTTCTATAACCGCGCGAGAGATCGCAGCAAGACACTACCACGCGTACTCGTGTGATGTAGTTGCATTAGAGATGCTGTGACAGTGCTTTGTGATTGCAGGTCGGCGAGCATTTCAAAGACAACTCAGACGTAGTAATTGCCAAGATCGACGCCACAGCGAATGAGCTCCAGCACACCAGGGTGACCAGCTACCCCACCATCAAGCTTTATACAAAGGGTGAGAACCAGCAATTCGATTACAACGGACCCAGAACGTTCGAGGGTCTGACCAAATTTGTGGAAAGCGGTGGCATGGACGGAGCCGATGTTCAGGAAACCAGCGAGGAAGAGGATGATCACAAAAAGGACGAGTTGTAAGGAATTTGGACAAGTGGTGGTTCAGGATGGTTTTTTCTTGGGTGCAATTGGAGGCTCAGGGGGTATTTTTGAGTATTGTCGCTCGAATGATGGACTTTCGAAATATATATTTTGGATCTATCTGTATGTACTTCTCACCTTATTTGAATCGAAAAATGTATTTTAATCTACATAATCTGCATGCAATGGTGCGTGAGATCCCGAACTAGAGAATTCTAAAAATATTTTCAAATATATTTTAGGAACTCTTAGTTGGTCAAACTCCTCCATTGTGTCTGATAAAAAAGGACATAATTCCAAAATAAAAATCTAAAAACTGGTAAATTGTATATAAAGGCAAACCGCGGAACTAGCACTATAATTGTATGGCTTTGAATATTTGTTGTTTTGATCGACCTTAAAATCAAAATAATTTGTGTTATTGATCAAAATCTGTTTAAATTTATACTTCTGCTTTATATTTTGCTCCGTGAGCCTCCCCAAATATTCGTATAATTCCTTTTTGATGTATTTATAACTGAATATTTTTGTACTTCGTGATTTTTTTTATTAACTGCGTCTATTTTTTCTGTTTGTGAATTTCTTTTTAGGACTTATATTACGATGATTTATTTTTTGTATATGTACTGATTCGTTGTAAGTGATTATGGTTGTAAATAGAATATATGCGCAAGAGAATTGAGGCAAGGAAGATCTAATGTTGCAGCAGTACTGATATGCCTCGTTCACCATATTTGATTTCCATATTCTTTAAAGCCATGTTTTTTTCATGTGCTGAAATTATACATATACGTTGGCGAATCATAAAAATAAATTCGATTTAACAAGTGGGTTTTATTATTTTGTCCTTATACCTTTGCTCCACATTCTAGTTAGCCCAGAAAGGGATGAGCGGTTGTACAGACCAGTTCTAGTTGTACAGAGGACAACTTCTCTACAATGCTACATTTCCATTTTGGTCTGTATATACAAACTAATGAAACTTTGGTACACTGAGGTTATTTATCGACTACTTTAGATTTTGATTATAGATATTGAATATGGTTATAAAAATATTCAGAGAAACAAATGGCGAGATATTCAAACATTCTCCGCAAGTATGTACCTCTTCTCGTTTTTGGGATCCCGATTCAAAATTTAAGTAGCTGAAAACTGCATATCCGACCACATTTTCATAGCGAGATTGTCAAAAAGTAGTAGATTGGTCAGAGATTCAAACCTTCCCTGTTTCCGCGATCCTGATACAGAATTTCAAGTAACTGAAAATTCCTTATCCGACCATATTTTCGTGGCAAGATTGTCAAAAAGTAGTAATTAAAATTTTGCTACCAGGGTCACAGGAACGTGAGGAGTTATAGAAATATATCCTACTCCGGTTAGTAGATTGATGGCAGATTCAAACTTTCCATACACCCTCTCGCAGTTTCTGTGATCCTGATACAGAATTTCATATAGCTAAAAAGTGCGCATCCGACAAGGTATTCATGACGGGATCGTCAAAAAGTAGTAATTCAAATTTTGCTACCAGGATCTCTGGAACGTTAGCATCTTTCGAAATGTAGATCGTGTAGAATACCGCGAGATTCAGACGTTCTCTCATAATACCCCTCGTCATTTCTGCGATCCTGATTCAGAATTTCAAGTAAGTGAAAATTTCTTATCCGACCAAATTTTCATGGCGAGATTGTCAATAAGTAGTAATCAAAAATTCGCTACCAGGGAACGTGAAGAGGTATAGAAATATATCCTACTCTGGATAGTAGATTGATGGCAGATTTAAACTTTTCACATACCTCTCGCAGTTTCTGTGATCCTGATACAGAATTTTATATAGCTAAAATCTGCACATCCGACGAGGTATTCACGACGGAATCATCAACAAGTAGTAATTCAAATTTTGCTACCAGGATCACAGGAACGTGAGGAGGTATGGAAATTGATTCTGCTCTGGATAGTTGATTGGTAGGAGATGAAAAATTTCTCCGCAAATACCTCTCCTCGTTTCTGTGATCCTGATGCAGAATTTCATAAAGCTAAAATCTGCACATCCGACGAGGTATCCATGACGGGACCATCAACAAGTAGTGATTCAAATTTTGCTACCAGGATCTTAGGAACGTTAACAGCAATCGAAGTGTAGTACGTGTAGAATGCCGGGAGATTCAAACGTTCGCTAAGAATGCCTCATTTCTGTGATCCTGATACAGAATTTCAAGTAACTGAAAATTTCTTACCCGACCATATTTTCGTGGCGAGATTGTCAAAAAGTAGTAATTAAAATTTTGCTACCAGGGTCACATGAACGTGAGGAGTTATAGAAACATATTCTACTCCGGTTAGTAGATTGATGGCAGATTCAAACTTTCCATACACCTCTCGCAGTTTCTGTGATCCTGATACAGAATTTCATATAGCTAAAAAGTGCTTCCGACCAGGTATTCATGACGGGATGGTCAAAAAGGAGTAATTCAAATTTTGCTACCAGGATCTCAGGAACGTTAGCATCAATCGAAATGTAGATCGTGTAGAATACCGCGAGATTCAGACGTTGTCTCAGAATACCCCTCGTCATTTCTGCGATCCTGATTCAGAATTTCAAGTAAGTGAAAATTTCTTATCCGACCAAATTTTCATGGCGAGATTGTCAATAAGTAGTAATCAAAAATTCGCTACCAGGGTCACAGGAACGTGAGGAGGTATAGAAATATATCCTACTCCGGATAGTAGAATTTCATAAAGCAGGTGTTCATGACGGGATCGTCAAAAAGTAGTAATTAGGGGGTATGGAAATGCATTCTGCTCAGGATTGGTGGGATATTTAAACTTTCCATACACCTCTCGCAGTTTCTGTGATCCTGATACAGAATTTCATATAGCTAAAAAGTGCGCATCCGACAAGGTATTCATGACGGGATCGTCAAAAAGTAGTAATTCAAATTTTGCTACCAGGATCTCTGGAACGTTAGCATCAATCGAAATGTAGATCGTGTAGAATACCGCGAGATTCAGACGTTCTCTCATAATACCCCTCGTCATTTCTGCGATCCTGATTCAGAATTTCAAGTAAGTGAAAATTTCTTATCCGACCAAATTTTCATGGCGAGATTGTCAATAAGTAGTAATCAAAAATTCGCTACCAGGGAACGTGAAGAGGTATAGAAATATATCCTACTCTGGATAGTAGATTGATGGCAGATTTAAACTTTTCACATACCTCTCGCAGTTTCTGTGATCCTGATACAGAATTTTATATAGCTAAAATCTGCACATCCGACGAGGTATTCACGACGGAATCATCAACAAGTAGTAATTCAAATTTTGCTACCAGGATCACAGGAACGTGAGGAGGTATTGAAATTGATTCTGCTCCGGATTGTTGATTGGTAGGAGATGCAAACTTTCTCCGCAAATACCTCTCCTCGTTTCTGTGATCCTAATACAGAATTTCATATAGCTAAAATCTGCACATCCGACGAGGTATCCATGACGGGACCATCAACAAGTAGTGATTCAAATTTTGCTACCAGGATCTCAGGAACGTTAGCAGCAATCGAAGTGTAGTACGTGTAGAATGCCGGGAGATTCAAACGTTCGCTAAGAATGCCTCTTGTCATTTCTGCGATCCTGATACAGAATTTCAAGTAACTGAAAATTTCTTACCCGACCATATTTTCGTGGCGAGATTGTCAAAAAGTAGTAATTAAAATTTTGCTACCAGGGTCACATGAACGTGAGGAGTTATAGAAATATATCCTGCTCCGGTTAGTAGATTGATGGCAGATTCAAACTTTCCATACACCTCTCGCAGTTTCTGTGATCCTGATACAGAATTTCATATAGCTAAAAAGTGCTTCCGACCAGGTATTCATGACGGGATCGTCAAAAAGTAGTAATTCACATTTTGCTACCAGGATCACAGGAACATGAGGAGGTATTTAAATACAGGGTGGGCCATCTATCGGTTTCGATTTGAACCACGTGTTAATTTGACGCTGACAATACTTATGTCAATCTGATTTGTCATAAAATTCAGTATATTATCTCCGCTGAACGAAATGAATCGATTTACGCTTGAGCAACGTTGGGTAATATTGGAAATTTATTTCCAAAACAAAGACAATTGGGCAGAAATTGCACGAAAATGCCGTTCAAAATTCGGTCGCAACGAAGCACCAACAGCGCCCGGTATACGCAAGTTTATTAATAAAGTGCGTGAAACTGGTTTCATTGTTGATGCTCCAACACGTCAGCGTGCTCGTACAGTGCGTACACCCGAAGGTATCGATGCTGTGGCTGCGAGTGTGCGTGAAAATCCATCAACGTCAACACGTCATCGTTCCCAAGAATTGAACATTTCCCGCACCAGTTTACGACGAATTTTGCGGAAAGATCTCGGTATGACGCCTTACAAAGTTCAATTGGTTCAAGAGTTGAAGCCGCGTGACCATCCACTTCGTTCTGCCTTCGCTACATGGGCCAACGAGCAACTAATCAATGATGTCGATTTTGCGAAAAAAATAATCTTTTCAGACGAAGCTCATTTTCATATTGGTGGCTACGTCAATAAGCAAAATTGCCGTATCTGGGGCTCGGAAAACCCACACGAGGTCTTAGAGAAGCCAATGCATCCCTTGCGAGTGACTGTTTGGTGTGGATTGTGGAGCGGAGGCATCATTGGCCCATATTTCTTTGAAGACGGGGACGGCGCAACCGTTTCTGTCAATGGAAACACCTATCGCACCATGATAACTGATTTTTTTGTTCCTGCTCTTGATGGTATTGATGTGGAGAATGTTTGGTTTCAGCAGGATGGTGCAACTTGTCACACATCGCATGCCACAATCAACTTATTGCGCGAAACCTTCGATGGCCGTTTAATCAGTCGAAATGGTGATGTCAATTGGCCGCCAAGAAGCTGCGATTTGACACCATTGGACTATTTCCTGTGGGGCGCTGTTAAAGACAAGTGTTATGTCGACCATCCAGAGACAATTGACCATTTGAAGGCCAACATTCGTGATGCCATTGACGAGATACGGCCCCAAACACTCGAAAAAGTGCTCGAAAATTGGTCCGATCGAATGGGCTACTGTGAGGCCAGCCGCGGCAGCCATTTGAATGAAGTAATATTTCATTTCTGAGCGGAACAATTGTACTTCAAAACAAAAAAATAAATTTGGCAATATCTCAAACCGTTTTTGTTTTATTTTATTTTTAAATCGAAACTTTTAAATGGCCCACCCATTACATTCTGCTCCGGATAGCTGATTGGTGGGAGACTCAAACTTACTCCGCAAGTACCTCTCGTTTCTATGATCCTGATACAGAATTTCATATAGCTAAAAACTGTACATCCGACCAGGTATTCACGACGGGATCATCAAGTAGTAATCCAAATTTTGCTACCAGGATCACAGGAACATGAGGAGGTATGGAAATGCATTCTGCTATGGATAGTTGATTGGTGGGAGATGCAAACTTTCTCCGCAAATACCTCTCCTCGTTTCTGTGATCCTGATAAGAGAATTTCATATAGCTAAAATCTGCACATCCGATGAGATATCCATGGCAGGACCATCAACAAGTAGTGATTCAAATTTTGCTACCAGGATCTCAGGAACGTTAGCAGCAATCGAAGTGTAGTACGTGTAGAATGCCGGGAGATTCAAACGTTCTCGTCATTTCTGCGATCCTGATACAGAATTTCAAGAAACTGAAAATTTCTTAACTGACCAGATTTTCATGACGAGATTGTCAAGAAGTAGTAATTAAAAATTTGCTACCAGGGTCACAGGAACGTGAGGAGGTATAGAAATATATCCTACTCCGG